TTCTTCTTCTTCTTCTTCCTCCTCCTCCTCCTCCTCTTTTGCCTCCTCTTCTGCCTCTGCCTCCTCCTCCTCCTTTCCTTCTCCTTGTCTCTGAAAACCTCACTTCCTTTTAGCACTGAAGACGTTACCTATTTGGGTCATGAAACGTCTGCAGAAAACCCACCAATCTCAGAGAGCATCGCAGTTCTTGATTTTTCAAGTAATGCAGAAACAGTTCAGAGTTAGATTTCCATGATATTCAGCCACTGCCCTTGTACTTTTCAAGCATACTGTAACTTAGTCCTTACTCACTCTGTTTCCCCTTCCTGCTCTGGTTTTGGTAGCTTTGAGTAAAAAGGTTCCCACTCTCCCATCAAATGTTGACTACATGAACCTATCCAACAGATACTGGTTAAATATTGTGTGTGAAGGTTCAACATCCAGACACTTCTTCAGCAGCACTGACACATAGTGGTATTGTAAGGACCCATCTCAGCTAACCACCCAAGAAATAGGCATTGTTTCAAAACAACCCTGGGTTACTGCAGCCGGTGGCAGACTCTTCTCAACCATGGGAAGAAATAGCTATGGACTTTATAGTAGACCTACCTGAAAGTAGAGGAAATACTGTCATATGGACTGTGATAGACCTGTTCTCAAAACAGGCTCATTTCATCGCCTGCAAAGGATTCCCATCTGCCCAACAACTGACTAAATTGTTCCTGAAACATATCTACCGGCTGCATGGCGTCCCTAAACGAGTAATTTCGGACAGGGGGATGCAGTTCACAGCGAAGTTTTGGAGGAGTTTTCTTGAATTAATTGGATCATCTCAAGGCTTATCATCTGCTTTTCATCCAGCCACCAACGGTGCTGCAGAATCCGCTAACAAAATGGTGGAGCAATACCTCAGATGCTACGTTTCCTACCAACAGACAAACTGGATTGACCTCTTCCCCTTCGCAGAGGTGGCGTACAATAATTCTGTTCACAGTAGTACCGGCTACACGCCTTTCAGAGTAGGAAAGGAAACTTTTATTAGGGGTCAGTGACGGTAGGGAAGTCCAGGAGAGATCTGGGGAAAATCCCGCTCAAACGGTATAGTTAAAGCAGCAACATTCCTCCTCTCACCAAAGTCATAATGGGCACTTGAAATCCAGCCAATCCACAGGTGGCAACGATGTGCGGGCAACTGGCACAGTTGGCGCGCATCTCAAGGTCTTCTCCAGTTTCGTTTCTCTGTAACCGTCTCCCTGATAAGGGAGACACATTCCTTTCTCAAGTGGAGAGAGGCGGGAGAAGAAAAGCAGAACGTGAAAGTTATCCCAAGTGAAAGCAAATATCCCCCCTCCCCCCAGCAGAGTGGCAGGCCCCCAAAACAAAAGTACAAGAGTATATATATGCAAGGAAAACCATAAGGATTTGGGGACCTGACAGGTATCTTGATAGTGATCAGCAGAGGAATTTGATTTACTTGGTATTTGCCTCAGTTGCTAACTTCATTGTGTCTTCTCCAGGCCTACTCTTGGTTTCCAGTTTCCGTTCGGTTGCTTCTTTCCATTGCTTTCTTTTCTGTTCCAGCTGTACCTACTTACTAGTTGATTTTCTTAAGTATCAGTCTTGCTGTGCAGGTTCTGAGGGGTTGCTTGATAAAAAAAATAATACAGGAAATCAAAAGTTGCTTTCAAGCTATACGTTTTTATTCAACTGAACAAAGACGGGCTCCTCTAAAAGAGAGAAAACCCCAAATGTCAGAAAATCCCTATTTTTATACTTTTTTGATTACATAAGCAATCCACCCAGCAAAGCTGACACACATAAGATAAAGACTTTACCCTGTAAGGCTGGCACCACTGTAAGTAAGAAGGGAGAAAGCAGAAGTAGCTAAAAATGTTCTCTTTTGGGTGTTTCCCGAAAGACATCCTACGTTCCCGGGTGGGTTAGGACATTGGGTGTTTTCCTTGCTATCCTTTCATGACCCTGCATCCATGACTCTGCAAGTGCCCAAAGACAGCAGGGCCATCTGCCCATGTTCACAATTGATACTTCCTGTGCTGTCCCCTAATTCCAGGTCAACAGTCTTAGTTTGATTCTGTATCTTCTTATTTTCAGACCCAGCTCATGTACAAATGGGTGGAGCCCAAGATCTGCCAGGAGGACGTCTCTGAAGCGGTGAAGCTACCTCCTTCGGGAGAAAGGAAGGAATGTCCGCCTTGCAACCCTGGTTTTTACAACAATGGATCATCTTTCTGCGCTCCTTGTCCACCAGGGATGTTCACTGATGGAACTCAAGGTATGAGAAACTGACCGGGATGGAAACTCTGGATTAGCAATAGAAGCCTTCGCTTTTGTTTGCAGTTTTGTTGATGGTACCCACGCGTCCTCAACTCTATGAACTCAAAACTATGATATACAACATGGATCTTGAAAGGTTTTGTATCTCTTAAACCAGGCACTTATTACCATCTTTGGTGGACACGCTCCAAAGCCAAAAGATTCTGGTCAAGAATACCCATATGGTTAGAGAAAATGACTAAAAAACATATAGATTTTTAGCCAGAATTACTTTTGTTAGGCATAATTGTAGGAAGCTATGAGAAAGAGAGTATATATCTAATATTACATGTATTAACTGCAGCGAGAATTGTATTCGCTCAACATTGGAAAAATGAAGATTTACCAACGGAGGAAGAGTTAATTAAAAAAATTTTTAGATCATGCAGAAATGGGTAGATTGACATTGAAAATGAAAGAGAAAGAAGATTCAGTATACTTTAGAACCGTGGTGGCAAACTTATGGCACACGTGCCACAGGTGGCACACAGAGCCCTCTATGTGGGCACGCGCACCGTCGCCCCAGTCCTAGGCCTTCAGCTGGGTTTTATAAAACCTTTTCGCTTTAGGCCTTCATCGCCGTGTACAAAAAAAAAAGGTTCAATCAATCAATTTCAACTTCTCGCGAAAAAAAAGATCTCTCAAAGTTGGAATTGATTGATTGAACTTTTTAGTCCTACCCAGTCTGCCGTTACCACCAAAGCCACGCCCACCCAATGGGCCAAGCCCACCCAATTGATCACACCCACCCAATGGGCCACGCTCACCCAGCACCCAGCAATATATAAGTGGGTTTTGGGTTGCAGTTTGGGCACTCGGTCTCTAAAAGGTTCGCCATCACTGTTTTAGAACATGGGATACCTTTTATCAATGGCTAGAAAAACGAGAGAAAGGAATTTAACATGTATTAGTAAGTTAAATGTTGGAACCCAGACAATATGTTGCTGATAAAATATTAAGCATTTGTGACTATAAAAAATTAATAAAAATATATATGAAGGAAAGATTTTGTATCTCTTAAAAACAGGAAAATCTTTTAATCAGAGGCAAAACAGACAGGAAACTAGACTAGATGAACTAAGTCTACTTTCTTGTAAGGCTACATTAACAGAATTTTGCAAGTCTGAAGATACAGGCTTCTTGCTACCACTTTTAAGTGATTGATTCATTGGGGTGGGTCCTTCTTAAGTGTCTTTCTCTGGCCCTTAAGCACTGGAGGCTTTAGAATCAACTTCCTTTAGATCATCTAAGGCGGAATAACATAGGGTGGTTTCTGATCCAGTGTGTCTACTTTGGTTTGAGTCATGAAGCGTCTGCAAGATCACCACCACGCTCAGAGAGCACTAAGCACTCCACAGTTCTTGATTTTTCAAGTAATGCACAAACAGTTCAGAGTTTGGCTTCCATGACGTTTAGCCACTGCAGTTGTACTTAACAAGGTCTTCACGCAAGGGAAACATCATGCCTTCTGGGATGAAGAATGCTGTGGTAACTGAAAGGTAGCTGGCCTGAATAACCCAAGCAGGATCATCCATGAAGGTCTGTGTCAAGATGCCCTCACAGCCACGTGATCTGTGTGGCTCGTGTGAAAAAGGACAGAGCTTTGATTGCCTGGTTGTGATCACCATCTTGGAAATTTTTGATTATCTCTCTAGGGAGATGTTTGCCCCCAAGTGTATACAGATTAGATTTTTATGGTGTCTAATTAAAAATCAAGGGTGTTTTTTTTTTTAAACTATCTTAATTCTTATCTCCTACTTTAGATTGCAAGGCCTGTCCTGCTGGCACTGAACCAGTGCTTGGACTGGAATATAAGTGGTGGAATGTTCTGCCTCTCAACATGAAGACTTCTTGCTTCAATGTGGGGAATTCAAAATGTGATGGGATGAATGGTGAGCTGGTCTTTTTCATTACATTTCCCATCTCTACCGTACTGTTTCTTCAGATCCCGTAAGAAATGTTGGGTGAGCAAGGATCAAATTAAGCACGGGGTTGCACACCACGTTCAGAACTTGGCCTGTGCTTTTGTCTTAACAGGAGATACAATTTAGCTGTTCTCATAGATTGGAGATGGTTTTCTCCTGAGGTTTAACCTTCACCCAAGGTTCAGCTATGTGATTAGGACAGACATGTCAAACACAAGGCCCGGGGGCCAGATGCGGCCCGCAAAATGGTTTCATGTGGCCCACGAAGCCATCCTGGAAACAGTGAGGGAACGGCCCCCGCTGCCTTGGCCCTGGCCCAGGCTGGCCAGGAGCCAATGTACAATTTTGTGGTGGCCATCTATGCTGAAACAATTCAGTCTTAGCTCCACAAGGCCATCTGGAAACAACGAGGAAACAGCCCCTGCCACATTGGCCCCGCCCCCTGGGTGCATGCTGGGGAGGTGTCACCCTTTGTGAGGAATGAAGAAATGGACCATGCCTTGGCGCTTGCCCTGGTCCCATCCCCTTCTGCCAGAGACCCTCAGATCTGCCCCACTCCTACCCAGGCCCCCACAGGCCCCCTTGACACGAACGATGTAGAGCTGGCCATGCCCACCCAGTAGGCCGCACCCACTCCATCCACGCCTATCCAGTAGGCCGCACCCAACGTGGCCACACCCACCCGGACCCCCGAGGGCAACCGCAATGCTGATGCGGCCCTCAATGAAATTGAGTTTGACACCCCTGGAGTAGGAAAAGCACGTTCAACTGAGAGCAAAGAAAGAACTTCCTTCTAAGGGACTTAGCAGTCCCTGGCAGAGGAGAACATTACATCTAAGATGCAGCCATTGTTTTTAAGGTGGAGAAACGGGCCCGCTATTCTTCTCGGAGTCTTCAAGGTCCCATTTCTTCTCTTAAAAATCAGCAACAATTCCCACAAGCTGACTACACCCATTCTGGTGGCTCACTGCATCTTCAAGTTGTCTTCTATGGCCCTTTTGATGACCAGAAGCTTAGAGATGGCCTCTGCTTGGACTTCTGACAAGTGGGATCACTTGCATGATCAGCAATTCCTCTTCATAACCATTTGTCAATGTTCATCGAAGGCTACCATGGCAACCTGTAGTTTCTGTACCTACGGGCAAGGGATGTGTGTGTGTGTTTGTGTAAACGAAAGTGATTGGATTTAGGGAAGATGCTGGATCTCGATTTGTTTAAAGGTTCAAAATTACGTATGATCTTAGATGGGATTTTCCTTTTTCAGGCTGGGAAGTTGCTGGTGACCACATCCAGAGCGGGGCAGGAGGCACAGACAACGATTATCTCATTGTGAACCTCCACATACCAGGATTTAAGTAAGGAACAGTATAATTTCTGTTGGGTGTGGGAAGGGGTTTATGCTCCAATCCTTTAGTGCACTCTAAGATGAAACCGGTCAAACGTGGATGTGATGCAGTGGGCACGCTTGTTACAATCTGCTTTGTTTGTGGTTTAAGAAGCATAATTTCTTTATATATATATATATAAAGAAGAATGGCTATGTGATTTGGATCTGGCTAGTCCAGGGGTAGGCAACCTTGGCTAGTCTAAGGAAAAGAAGAAATAGGGGAGACATGATAGCAGTATTCCAGTATTTGAGGGACTGCCACAAAGAAGAGGGGGTCACATTATTCTCCAAAGCACCAGAGGGAAGGACGAGAAACATTGTTTGGAAACTGACCAAAGAGAGAAGCAACCTGGAATTAAGGAGAAACTTCATGACAGTGAGGACAATCAACCAGTGGAACCGCTTACCCCCAGAAATCGTGGGTGCTCCATCACTGGAGATTTTTAAGAAGAGACTCAACATCCACCTGTCTGAGATGGTATAGGTTCTCCTGCTCAAGCAGGGGACTGGACTAGAAGACCTCCAAGACCCCTTCCAGCTCTATTCTCTCTCTCTATATATATATCAGTGATGGCAAACCTTTTAGAGACTGAGTGCCCAAAAACGGGCCCTGCGCCCACTCTACCCCCTGTCCCGTGCCCGCTCTGCCACCCATCCCCCACCCTGCCTGCCCACAGGACCACTCACCACCTCCAGGGCCCACCGCAGATTGCCCAGGCAGCCCAGCAGCACTATGGCAGCCACACCTCTGTCTCGCCCTGCAGCATCAACTGCATGATGGAGTGTGAGGACAGAGTCTTGTCTACGCTGCCTGGTTGCCTTGTCCTTGGCTGCGCTGCTCCGTGTGGGCCACGCTCAAGGGCGACTCTCCTTCCGGGGGGCTGATGGAGGGGAGGGGGTCGCAGGGGGAGGCAAGGCTGGGGCAACGGCACATGTGCCCACAGAGAGGGCTCCGAGTGCCGCCTCTGGCACCCGTGCCATAGGTTCGCCACCACTGCTATATATATATATATATTAGTTTATAATATAAAATACAGAAATCCAAAAGAAAATAGTAGGAACATAAGAGAGGAAGAAGGGAAGGGAAAAGTGTAGGGAAAAGGGGAAAAAAGAAAGAAAAGACATTGACTTCCTACTCCCTTTGGTGCAGTAGAATAAGATAATAGCCTCAAACCTCAACTTTATACTTTTACATAGTAGTGTGAACTAGCCGTTTCTACAACAAGAAACGTATCAAAGTTTCATTTTCCTCTCTCCTACCTCAAGCATAATGTCCAGAAGCGGTTTCCAAGTAGAAACAAAAGTAATTGTGCTTTTTTTTTGTTTAATAAGAAGTACAATTTCTGAAGATGAACCTTGATAAAGAACAAATAACATGCATACATACATACATACATGCTGTATGTGACAATATACAGTAATTAGCAGTTCATCGAAGGCACCAAACCAGTCCCTGTAGCAAGGCTGTCCAACCTTGGCAACTTTTAAGACTTGTAGACTTCATCAGGATCTTTTGACATACATGAGTTCTACCTTAACTTTAGGAAGAGGTAATAAAAAAATCTTTATCAGTTAAGTCAAAAGAAAAATCAGTAAAATGGAACAATAATAGCCTGCACGAGGCTGAGGATGCTCCACATTTTTTTTCTTAACGAGAAATCCGTTATTGAGTTTCGGAAGAGCGATGTCGCGAATAGCGAGACGGGTTTTCGTTTCTTTGAAATCAAATTGCAAGTTGTTTTGAAATGATATTGATTTGGAGCATCTGGTAACTCCTTCTCTTCTGCTCCGTTGAACAGGCCTCCCACATCAGTCACGGGAGCGATGGGCTCAGAACTTGGACGGATCACTTTTGTGTTTGAGACCATCTGCTCTGCAGACTGCGTGCTGTACTTCATGGTGGTAAGTGAGGATCCACTGAGGTCAGCTGTGGGTGGCATTTCTCCAAGTCGTTCTTATTCCTGAGCAGGAACCTTCTGGAGTGGCAGAAGAGAGAACTTCACCATTTCTGACCTCAGCCCTCAGTTCTAGATAAGCAACTTTGACAGCCCTTCTTAAAAGAGAAATTACTGGTATTCAAATTTATTCATGTAGAGTGGTTGAAGTGATATTGTGATTGAGCCCAACCACCATCCTGCAAGCTGAAGTATATTCCTCTTCAGAGCTGTTCCATTGCTTCTCATCCTTGCCATCTTCAACTCCCAGAATCCCCAGCGAGGAACCTTCTGGGTGGGAAATTCTGAAAGTTGAAGTCCTCATATCTGCAATTTGCCTGGGTTTGGCCTTCATTGATCTTAACAGGTGGGCAGTGAAGTCCAAGGAGAAAGTGGTCCATTAGTTCTCCACCATGGATGACTTGGCTTGTTTTATTGCATGGTGAAGTTTATATTTGTGATGTTCTTCACTTCTGGAGTATCAGTGCTTCAGTTTTTCTACTAACATGGCTGTCTACTAACATACCTAGTTTTCTACTAACATACCTAGTTGCCATACCTCAGTTTTTCTAGTTTATAGAGAAAATGTCTCAAGATTTAAATAACTTGAGGTGACTGAATATGTAATAGATTTAGCAGCTTCATGTGCCAATACACTTGTTTCTTGTAGCTTTCCAAAGGATAAAGTCTCACAAGCAACTTAAATGCTTTTTGTACAATATGCTTGCCGAGAATATCCTTATTAAGCTTGTGTGTGCATGTGTGTGTGTGTGTGTGTGATTGAGTGAGCCTGTTTGATTACTTTCACCATAACCCCAGAAGGGTAATAAACCTGGTTAATTTAGTAAGCCAGTTAAGTATGTTCTGGGAATGCAGACCATTATATATATTATCTTACAGAGGAAAGAAGATGTAGGACAGTGATGGCGAACCTTTTGGAGACTGAGTGCCCAAACTGCAACCCAAAACCCACTTATGCATCGTCGGGTGCCGGGTGGGTGTGGCCCATTGGGTGGGTGTGGCCCATTGGGTGGGCGTGGGTGAAGTGGTAATGGCAGACTGGGTGGGACTAAAAAGTTCAATCAATCAATTCCAACTTTGCAAGATCTTTTTTTTTTCCCGCGAGAAGTTGAAATTGACTGATTGATTGAACCTTTTTTTTTGCGCACGGCGGAGGCCTAAAGCGAAAAGGATTGATAAAACCCAGCTGAAGGCCTAGGACTGGGGCGACGGCGTGCGTGCCCACAGAGAGGGCTCTGAGTGCTGCCTCTGGCACCCGTGCCATAGGTTCGCCACCACTGATGTAGGAGATGACCAGGCTGAGATGGAGGGAGGGGTCAAGCATGTCATCAGTCTCAAATCCCTTCGTGCCCATAAACGATCTTAAGTCCAGGCTGCCTTCAGTTCCATTAACTCTTATCTCCCGCTAATTTCCCTTGGCCGTTAGTAGTTCAGATTCCTGTAGAAAGCTTAAGTTTGTAATAAACCTTTATATTCATTTGAACTGCCTGGATTTCCTGATTTTTCTGCGCTTGATAGAAGATTTGAGTAAAGGTTTCTTTTCCTTGGAACAGGCAGAGTCTTCCATTTCACTCAGTCAACATTATCTAACAACCTCAATTCTGCTACCTAACACGTGCTTTCTTAATGTTTTTTGTTGAATGGTTTTCAGGACATCAATAAGAAGAGCACAAACGTGGTGGAATCATGGAGTGGCGCTAAGGGCAAGCAGTCGTACGCTCATATCATTTCCAAGAACGCTTCCTTTACGTTCACCTGGGCTTTCCAAAGAACCAATCAAGGCCAAGATGTAAGTCTTACAATCATTTCAGTGAAAATAAAGACTTTTTTTTTTAAAAAAGCTATGAAACAAACTTTTGTTTACAGTTTTCAAAGACTTAGCAAATTCCTCATCCCTACGTAGTTGGAGTGGTACAATTATAAGTAGTCCTGGGTTAACAGTGGCAAGCTTGACTTGGATTTCCATTGCTAAGTGGTATGTGGATCGCAGTCATGTGACCATGGGAACTTGGAGGACCAGTTGTAAGTACCAGTCATTTAGCACCATTGTAGGTTCGAACATGATTTTCCCAGTTGCAATGTATGGCTGTGAAAGTTGGACCATAAGAAAGGCTGAGCGCCAAAGAATTGAGGCCTTTGAACTATGGTGCTGGAGAAGACTCCTGCGAGTCCCCTGGACTGCAAGGTGTTCAAACCGGTCAGTCCTAGAGAAGATCAACCCTGACTGCTCCTTAGAAGGCCAGATCCTGAAGTTGAAACTCAAATACTTTGGCCACCTAATGAGAAGGAAGGACTCACTGGAGAAGAGCCTAATGCTGGGAAAGACTGAGGGCAATAGAAGAAGGGGATGACAGAGAATGAGGTGGCTGGATGGAGTCACTGAAGCAGTAGGCGGGAGCTTAAATGGACTCCAGAAGATGGTAGAGGACAGGAAGGCCTGGAGGAACGTTGTCCATGGGGTCGCGATGGGTCGGACATGACTTCGCAACTAACAACAACAACAACAAGGTTCGAACAAACAGTCGTTGAATAAGTGATCATTAAGGGGGAACCACTTGTAATAGCGTTACATAGGGGAAGCTGCAAGGCATAGAGTAAAATGTTAAGATGGCAGCCATGGCGTTACAGTCAAAGTCTGTCCCCTTATTACTCACTTCGAATGCTCAGTCACAGCTGTTACTATGCCGATCCACTTCCCTGCAGTTACTCCTGGTGTTACGCTGCTACCTGCAAAAAGAATTGGTGGCTTGTTCAAAACAAACTATACAACTCTTCTTTCAGTTGCAATCTCCAGGTTTCTGCAGTCATTTCATTTCACAAGACGTGTGTGGGATACAGTAACCTGCAGTTATATTGGCAATATCCCTTTTCCTCAGAAAATTTGATCTGCGAGCATTTTGACAGTTACAATCCAGGTAGCTGAAATCTTATTAGCTGCTTCCTTGCCAAGCCGTGCGAGTTCAAGCAATCAGTTCAGGGAGCTTCATTGCTTATAAATATATTGTACTTATTACATTTGAATATTGCCATTCGCGCAGCAATCTGTTGGCCTAAGCTTCGCTGAAGGTTAAGTGATGCCAGCTGTATTTTAATATTTTGAAATGTGCTGCTGAAATCCATCGTAATTTAAATATACTTAAAGTGTAAGTGGCTAAAGAATAAATATGTAGGCTGAATGTCTCCTAGACGCTCTTTCCCATTTCTTATAGAATAATTCATCCTTTGTGCACATTCAGGATGTTTCAAAATATGACTCCAAAACAAACTAGAAATCCTGAGCTACAGTTTTTTTTTTTTAATAAGGTTGGTTTTGATAAGCTTGGCAGATAAAAAGTCAAGTCAGGTTTGTCAAGGAGATAATCTAGAAAACCCAGGATTGTGGACTAGGCCTGGAAAGTTGAAAAATATTCTAGAAGAAGGATCATATCAAAAAAGTTTGACTTGAAGAGTACAGAGAAGAGCAACAAAGATGATTAGGGGACTGGAGGATAAAACATATAATGAACGGTTAATGGAATTGGGTATATCCAGTTTAATGAAGAGAAGGACGAGGGGTGACGTGATAGAAGTGTTCCAATATCTCAGGGGTTGCCACAAAGAAGAGGGAGTCAAGCTATTCTCCAAGGCGCCTGAAGGCAGGACAAGAAGCAACGGATGGAAACTCATCAAGGAGAGAAGCAACCTAGAACTGAGGAGAAACTTCCTGACAGTTAGAACAATTAATCAGTGGAACAACCTGCCTCCAGAAATCAGCCAAACACAGGAGAGCATAAGGATTTCCTCCTCCTCCTCCTCCTCCTCCTCCTCCTCCTCCTCCTCCTCCTCCTCCTCCTCACAGAGCACCAAGGACCTCATAGTTGTCCTCTTCCTCCTCCTTCTCCATTCTCCACGCTGCAAACCCCACTCCCTTCTAACACTGATGATGTAACCTAGTTGGGTAATGAAACATCTGCAAGAAAACCACCGAGCTCAGAGAGCACCCAGGACCCCACAGTGCAACCGCAAGCTACAAATATTACTCTTCTATTGGTAATTACTGAAGTAGGGGTGTTTGCGAGTGGCTCTCTATTTATCTGAGTGTAGCATTTCTTAGATGATGATGATGATGATGATGATGATGATGATGATGACAATAGATAAGATAGAAAAGTGATATATTTAATGGATCCTAGTGGTAGCCACTTTGTTCTTTTTTGGGGGACTGTTTCTTTCAGAACAGGAAGCTGATCAACGATGTGGCCAAGATCTACTCGATCACTGTGAGCAATGCAGTTGACGGAGTGGCTTCCTCCTGCCGGGCCTGTGCGATTGGTCTAGAACCGTCCGGCTCCTCCTGCATCCCATGCCCTGTTGGGCACTACATAGAGAAGGAAACCAACCAGTGCCAAGAATGTCCTCCCAATACGTACCTCTCTATCCATCAAGCCTTTGGAGAAGAAGCCTGTGTCCCTTGTGGGCCTGGGAGCCAAAGCACCAAGGTAAAGTTGTTGTTGTTGTTAGTGGTGAAGTCATGTCCGACTCATTGTGACCCCATGGACAACGTTCTTCCAGGCCTTCCTGTCCTCTACCATCATCTGGAGTCCATTGAAGCTCACGCCTACTGCTTCAGTGACTCCATCCAGCCACCTCATTCTCTGTCGTCCCCTTCTTCTATTGCCCTCCATCTTTCCCAGCATTAGGGTCCTCTCCAGTGAGTCCTTCCTTCTCATTAGGTGGCCAAAGTACTTGAGTTTCAACTTCAGGATCTGGCCTTCTAAAGAGCAGTCGGGGTTGATCTCCTCTAGGACTGACCGGTTTGATCGCCTTGCAGTCCAGGGGACTCGCCGGAGTCTTCTCCAGCACCAGAGTTCAAAGGCCTCCATTCTTTGGCGCTCAGCATCAAAAACATTGGGCTTTGGAAATAAACATGACTACAAAGGATTAGATCAATGGCTTGTCTAGACCTGGATGTGTCCACTTCTTATCCATCACAAAGTCTCCCTGAGCGTTCTCTAAACATACTAGTTCCCTTGGCCGTTCCTCATACAGTTTAGTCTTTAGACCCTTATCCTCTTTGTTGCTTTCCTCTGCACTCTTTGTAGAATTGCAGCATCTTTCTGTGTGTGTCATGGTCATGAGAACTGGATGCAATATTCCAAGTGTGGCCTCCTTAATGCAATATAGCAGTGAGGGCGAACCTTTTAGAGACCGAGTGCCCAAACCACAAACCACAATCCAAAACCCACTTATTTTTCGCAAAGTGCCAGGGCCGCATCAGCATCACGCTGCCCTCGGGGGGGGCATGGGGGCGTGGCCCACTGGATGGTCATGGCTGCGGTTGTCACTGCAGACTGTCGGGGGTGGCTGGGGTGGGCATGGCCACCTTGATGTTGCTCATGGGGGGACAGCTGTGGGGGCCGGACAGGGTTGGGGGTCTCTGGCGGGTGGGGCGGTGGGCAGGAGGCCCAGCATAGATGGGAGGGAGGCACGCAATCCTAGCTGGGGCTGGGGGGCCATGGCGCCGATGGGGATCCGGCTTTCCCTGCTCGGGGTGGCCTTTGGCTTGCTGGGTGTGGGCGTGCTCTACCACCTCTACTTGAGCTTGCTAGCTGGCCGATTCGCCTCCTTTGTGCTGGGTGGGGCTGCTGCTCTGGGCAGAGGTGGTGGGCTAATGGACCTGCGCAAGCTGCTGGCAGCGGTGGCGCGTGTGCCCACAGAGAGGGCTCTGAGTGCCGTCTCTGGCACACGTGCCATAGGTTCACCACCACTGCAATATAGAGTGACATTATCACTTCCCATGACCTTGATACCATCCCTAGGAATGTGTTGGCTTTTTGGGCGGCTGTGGCAGACAACTTGAGTTAAGCAGTGGTAAATGATAGCAGGCAGATAAACCAGTACACTTTTCTAGAGACTAGAGGTGAGCTACCATCTTTTTCTTTTCTTGTGAAAGCTTTACCTGGTCATGCCAGAAGCTTTCAAGAACTCATTCGTCCCTCTTAAATGATTAAAGGCCTGGAGACGAAAACATATGAAGAACGGTTGCAGGAATTGGGTACGTCTAGTTTAATAATAATGATAAAAAGAAATAGGGGTGACATGATAGCAGGGTTCCAGTATCTAAAAGGCTACTAGAAAGAAGAGAGGGTCAATTTATTTTCCAAAGCACCTGAAGGCAGGACAAGAAACAATGGATGGAAACTAACCAAGGAGAGAAGCAACCTGGAATTAAGGAGAAACTTCCTGACAGTGGGGACAATTAACCAGTGGAACGGCTTGCCTCCAGAAGTTGTGGGTGCTCCATCACTTGAGGTTTTTAAGAAGAGACTGGGCAGCCACTTGTCTGAAATGGTATAGGGTCTCCTGCTTGAGCAGGGGGTTGGACTAGAAGACCTCCAAGGTCCCTTCCAGCTCTATTCTGATTGATTGATTGATTGATTGATTGTCTTACTGCAAAGGACATGGAGATGATAGTGGTCCCTTCTTTGGTCAACATCAAAATACAGAACTTTCATATATTACTGAACTACATTTCCCAGTAGACCCAGCCTCAGCATGATGAATGAGAAGGAAGGAAGGCTAGAAGTTATAGCTTATGAATGTCTCTGAAGCTGTTGGCAATCTCTTTTCTGATCTACCCCATTGTAATGATTATTTGTGTGGTTTGTTTCCTCCAAAGATTAGTTTGGAACTTGATTTCCTTTATCTTACCTACGGCTGCTTACTTCTGTTTTGTGTTCTTTTCTCAGGACCATTCTGCCTGCTATAATGACTGCATGTTCTCCTATGTCAGGAACAATCAAAGTCTGATTTACGATTTTAGTCGTTTGAGCAGAGTGGGCTCATTAATGAACGGACCAAGCTTTACTGCAAGAGGCACAAAATTCTTCCATTTCTTCAATATCAGCCTGTGTGGATCCCAAGTAAGTGTCTGCCTTTCTAAGACCAGAGCTACTTTATCTCTTGCATGCTAAATACGAGGCAATTTTGTCTGGTCAGACCTAGGAGGTGGGCCTTCTCTGTTGTGTCTGCCCTTTGTAATGATCTCCCCTCTGTTAATTCAACAGGCCTGACCCTTTTAGCATTTAGGAGAAATGCTAAAAAATGTTAAAAAAATGTTTTAAAAAACCTAGTTTTCCCCTTGGCAGTTGAACCTGAATAACAGATAAGCCAGTTTTGGGAAGGTGGAACATGGGTTTGAAGGATGCCACTTGTATGCTGTCGTTATGTTGATTTTGGTTTGTTTCTTACCATGCCATTCATTTAATCCCCAATGCCTGGAATCACGGTCATGCAATTTCGGTAGCCCTATAAATCCAAACAAACAGATATATAAATAAAATTTGTCATCTTATTGGTATTTGCAGTCGATTGGAGAATGGAAATGATATAAGGACTAATTGATTCTTGACCCTGTTAATAAGATGTATGCTATCAGATCCAGGTAGATTTGGGATGCAAAAACCAGACAATTACAGACAAATCTAATTCTCTGCTACCATATGGTGGTTCTGGTTTTCCTTCCTTCCTTCCTTCCTTCCTTCCTTCCTTCCTTCCTTCCTTCCTTCCTTCCTTCCTTCCTTCCTTCCTTCCTTCCTTCCTTCCTTCTATCCATCTATCATCTCTCCATCAATCATCTACATATCTATTATCATCTCCTCCCTCCCTCCCTCCCTCCCTCTTTCTTTCTTTCTTTCTTTCTTTCTTTCTTTCTTTCTTTCTTTCTTTCTTTCTTTCTTTCTTTCTTTCTTTCTCCCTCCCAATCTATTCGTTTCACTGTCAATTCATTAAAGTAGCCACATCATTAATATGGCTATTAAAACAGCTGCATCTTTGTTGTCTTGAAACCTGAGAAAAGAATGGCTTGCTATGTAGCCATTTTTAATTAGAGTTTTGAGATTGGCATTGCATAAAATCTTTGCAAATATTGTTGATGATGTTGAAAATATGGCCCCTTTTCTGGAAGACATTCAGATTGAACAAGATCTGCTGTGGTCCATAAGGGGGACATTCCATTCACAAAACGATTTCTTTTATTATCTGAGATCAGTCATAAAACTGATCTAGAAGCATTGTTTCCTGTTTGATTGGTCCCATTTGCACCATCCCATGGCAATATCGGAAATTTTATAGCTCTCTCCTGCTATTTTTATTCACTTTGTGATCGTTTATTGCACTAGATGGCACCCACTGCCTTCTAGTTATTTGGGAGAAAACTAATACGGCCAGAATCTATTAAGAAATAGTGCACAATATCTATATTCTCAGATGAGATCTCTTGAGGGTTTGACTACTTTCATTTCTTTAAATTATTTTTTGATGCTCAATGATATTCTGAAAAGTGGCCCATCAGCGCCCACTGTAGGAGCACTTGATGGAAAAATGGTACCAAAATAATTAAGGAAGCAACAGCATCAAATCACATTTGAAAAAAAAAAAAGGTAAATATTGGTGCAACATGTTCTTGGATAACAGCTGGAATCACTCATCATTTTCAGTGTGAAAATCAAATTGGAGGAATATACCATAGTACCCCGTTCTGTTTGTTGCATTTGTTGCACAGTGGCAGGCCACTCCCACATATTTAAAAGTTATACAAAACCTGGCATTATTTGTGCAATAGGAAGAATACATCCATTTATATGCAAGGCTCGTAAGGTTTATAACTGGCTTGCAGATACACACTGTGGATGTTCCATACTGAAGTACACCAAGCGTTTTTCTGTTGCTATTTGTTAAAGTTGCTGTTTCTATTCTTTTCTCGTTCTTCTAAATCACTGTTAAGTGGCCGTATCATTATCTAAACGCCAAATTACACCTCATTGTGCTGTGCAAGAAAGCAACATGATTCCTAGCTTGCATGCTCTTTCTTTCTTTCTTTCTTTCTTTCTTTCTTTCTTTCTTTCTTTCTTTCTTTCTTTCTTTCTTTCTTTCTTTCTTTCTTTCTTTTTTTCTTTCTTTCTTTCTTTCTTTCTTTCTTTCTTTCTTTCTTTCTTTCTTTCTTTCTTTCTTTCTTTCTTTCTCCCTCCCAATCTATTCGTCTCACTGTCAATTCATTAAAGTAGCCACATCATTAATATGGCTATTAAAACAGCTGCATCTTTGTTGTCTTGAAACCTGAGAAAAGAATGGCTTGCTATGTAGCCATTTTTAATTAGAGTTTTGAGATTGGCATTGCATAAAATCTTTGCAAATATTGTTGATGATGTTGAAAATATGGAAGACATTCAGATTGAACAAGATCTGCTGTGGTCCATAAGGGGGACATTCCATTCACAAAATGATTTCTTTTATTATCTGAGATCAATCATAAAACTGATCTAGAAGCATTGTTTCCTGTTTGATTGGTCCCATTTGCACCATCCCATGGCAATATCGGAAATTTTATAGCTCTCTCCTGCTATTTTTATTCACTTTGTGATCGTTTATTGCACTAGATGGCACCCACTGCCTTCTAGTTATTTGGGAGAAAATTAATACGGCCAGAATCTATTAAGAAATATCTATATTCTCAGATGAGATCTCTTGAGGGTTTGACTACTTTCATTTCTTTAAATTATTTTTTGATGCTCAATGATATTCTGAAAAGTGGCCCATCAGCGCCCACTGTAGGAGCACTTGATGGAAAAATGGCACCAAAATAATTAAGGAAGCAACAGCATCAAATCACATTTGAAAAAAAAAGGTGAATATTGGTGCAAAGGGTTCTTGGAGAACAGCTGGAATCACTCATCATTTTCAGTGTGAAAATCAAATTGGAGGAATATACCATAGTACCCCGTTCTGTTTGTTGCATTTGTTGCACAGTGGCAGGCCACTCCCACATATTTAAAAGTTATACAAAACCTGGCATTATTTGTGCAATAGGAAGAATACATCCATTTATATGCAAGGCTCGTAAGGTTTATACTGTAACTGGCGTGCAGATACACACTGTGGATGTTCCATACTGAAGTACACCAAGCGTTTTTCTGTTGCTATTTGTTAAAGTTGCTGTTTCTATTCTTTTCTCGTTCTTCTAAATCATTGTTAAGTGGCCGTATCATTATCTAAACGCCAAATTACACCTCATTGTGCTGTGCAAGAAAGCAACATGATTCCTAGCTTGCATGCTCTTTCTTTCTTTCTTTCTTTCTTTCTTTCTTTCTTTCTTTCTTTCTTTCTTTCTTTCTTTCTTTCTTTCTCTCTCTCTCTCTTTCCTTCCTTCCTTCCTTCCCTTCCCTTTCTTTTCTTTTTCCTGTCTTCCTTCCTTCCTTCCTTCCTTCCTTCCTTTTTTCCCTTCCTTCCTTCCCTTTCTTTCTTTCTTTCTTTCTTTCTTTCTTTCTTTTTTTCTTTCTTTCCTCCCTTCCCTTCCCTTTCCTTTTCTTTTCTTCCTTCTTTCCCTTCCTTCCTCCCTCCCTCTTCTTTCTTTCTTTCTTTCTTTCTTTCTTTCTTTCTTTCTTTCTTTCTTTCTTTCTTTCTTCCTTNCCTCCCTCCCTCCCTCCCTCCCTCTTTTCTTTTTTCTTTTCTTTTCTTTTCCTTTCTCTCTCTCCCCTCCCATCTCTCTCTCACTTTTTCATTCTCTTCAAAAGAATCACAATGTTCCCTTCGCAGCTGCACAGCTCCATTTTTGCGGACAGGTTCCTGAATTTGTCGGCAAGTTAGCATGAAATTGTAGAAAGATCTGACTCTGGTTTGACATATGTGAAGAAATTTGCCATGGAAGCCACTCACACACACACACACACACACACACACACACACACACACACACACACACACACAAACACACAGACAAATCCTTTTTTTGTTTTCCATTTTAACTTCCCCAGGGAGAAAAGAGAGCCATTTGCGCGGACAATATAACGGATATCACCCTGAAGGATATGGTGTCCGAGTCAGAAGACTATTCCAATGTGGTGAGGGCGTTTGTCTGCCAGTCGACCATCATCCCTCCGGACAGCAAAGGCTTCCGCGCTGCTTTGGCCCTTCAGTCTAACAGCCTGGCTGACGTGTTCCTTGGTAATCTTTGGCTTGTTGCGATGCACAAATGAATAGCAATAAAGCAGCTGAGACAGAAGGAAGTGTGATGTCATGGACCTCACCCAACAGAACTGGGATTTGCAGAAATGTGACGATTTGCGATGGGCAATTTCTGCAAGTCTAAAGACACGTATGGGGGGATGTCTGTATCCTCTAACGAGGGCATTGAGAGAGGAGAATATTTAATAATAATAATAATAATAATAATAATAATAATAATAATAATAATAATAATAATAATAATAATAATAATAATAATATTGGAAGGGCCCTTGGAGGTTATCTAGTCCAACCCCCTGCTCAGGCAGGAAACCCTATACCATTTCAGGGTTTAATTATGGGGTCCTTGGTGCTCTCTGCGCTTGGCAGATGTTTCATGTAGGTAACCTCATCAGTGCTAGAAGGGAGGGAGGGAGGGAGGGAGGAGGAAGAGGAGGAGGAGGAGGAAGAAGAAAAGGACTGGGGTCCTTGGTGCTCTCTGAGCTGGGTTGTTTTCTTGCAGATGTTTCATGACCCAACTAGGTAACATCACCAGTACTAGTAGGGAGTGGGGTTTCCTCTCATTTTAGAATAGAATATAAACTAGATTATAAAATGTCCACTAGAATATTAAATGAGAGCAAACCCCGCTTCCTACTAGCACTGATGATGTTACCTAGGTTGGTAATGAAACTTCTCCAAGAAAATAACCAAGCTCAGAGAGCCCCAAGGACCCCTCAAGGTTAGTTCTGATAGACCCTGACCTCAGGACATCAACCTTGACTAACATAGGAGCTATGGCATGGTGACAGATGTTTTCTGTCAGGACCAAGAGAGAGCAAAGCCTTCCTTGACTTACATATGGGTATAATGATCTTAGGAGGAGCTAAACTATCAAATTTCCTAATATTTGAAAGGGAGACTATTAAGAAATCCCAGAATGTAGGCTAAATTTCACTCCTGGAGGAGGGCACTGGGAGATCTTCTGCTTATTATTGCCAAGAAAATTACTTAAAGATGTCTATATAATCAGCAGAAATTGAGATTGATTTGTGGTATTCATCTCAATATTTCCATTCCATTTTTCCCCTCAAAAAGAATACAGTAATAGTTATAAATACATACAGAAAATAAATAAATATTTGAAGAGTAGGTGGATTGCATTTCTTGGATCTGGAAGCCTTATCTCAGATTCTCACTCTAGGATCAAATCCTGCTTCCCCATTCCTCATGGCCCCCACAGTAGATCCAAGACATACTATTGAGATTTAATATTACCTGCAGAGTAGATTTCCTGGTTGGAGCTTCAAGTTCTTGAGACGTTCCTCAAGTCTGGAGATAGCCCAAGATAACATGCTGGATAGCAGTTTTGGTAATAGTATCTTTTGGAAAATGAGAATAGTCTCCTGTTAACTGATATTTTTTTTTATATAGGAGTATCTACAAATAATATCTCTGTTTGATCGACCAACTGATTTTAATGGATTACTGTGTTAGTACTTAAAATCAGTGGTCACATCATCATCCATTCTCAGTTCAGGGGCTCTAATGACCTGGAGGAAGTCTAACAACTTGCAATTTTAGTATATGTATAAGAAAACTGTGCTTATTGTTAGAAGAAAAACCATCTTTTAAGAATTGGGGGTGATTTTTTTTTTAGTTTTCTGTACTTAATTGCTAACAAATTAGACTCCAAATTACTTTTAAAAGAAAGCTTCCTTTATCCATATGCCTCCATGGCTCAAGGGAGTATCATTCCAGATTCATGCAGGGAAGCTTTAGAGCTTAATGGGTTTAACTGAGTAGCATTCATAAGTGTCTCCATTTCTTTGAGTCAAAAAATCTACGACTTGTTCACAAAAATATCGCTCAGAGCCTTAACTGAGTTGAATTTCTTTCTTGGTGATTTATATTCATGTCCCTTTTCTTGGCAAGGATATACAAGTAGTTTGTCTCCACTTATTCCGGGATGTTTTTCAATTTCCACGCTAGTCTAAATGTGTGCGTACATTTAATTCTTCCACACAGTTTTGGTTTTTTTTTTTTTTATAAGAAACTAGAAAATATATCAGTTTGGCCTTAGACCAGTGATGGCAAACCTTTTAGAGACCGAGTGCCCAAAAACTGGCTCCGCCCCCATTCCACCCCTGCCCCGCCCCCGCTCTACCCCCACCCCGCCTTCCCACAGGGCCACTCACCGCCTCCAGGGCCTGCCGTAGATCGCCCAGGCAGTCCAGCAGCGCCATGGCGGCCACGCCCTCTGCCCGCGCCCCGCAGCATCAACTGTGCGTGATGGGGTGTGAGGGCAGAGTCTTGTCTACACTGCCTGACTGCCATGTCCTTGGTTGTGCTGCTCCGTGTGGGCCACGCTCGGGGGCGACTCTCCTTCAGGGGGGCTGCTGGTGAGGGGGTCGTGGGGGAGGCAAGGCTGGGGCAACGGCACGTGTGCCCACAGAGAGGGCTCCGAGTGCCGCCTCTGGCACCCGTGCCATAGGTTTGCCACCACTGCCTTAGACCAATTGCATTGTAACCAATCAAATCTGCCTGGTGACATTTTGTGGGAGATATAGTTTTCTTCCCAACCACCTGTAAATTCTTTCAGAAATGGTTTTCTTTTCTTCTTTGCAGGAGCAACTGTTGAAACTACACTAGGAAATGTTAACATTAAGCCAGAAGTGTTTGAGAAATCTAAAACAAAGCTACCCGATGTTCATTTCTATTACAAGTGAGTAGGAGAGCAAATGGCTCAATTCTTCGTACTCCTTTGCTATCTGCAGAGGGAAAGCAAAAATCCAGGAGAAGCTTACTTTGTCATCGAGGACCAAATTAAACAGTCAGGAGACACCATAATTTATTTTGATTGTGGATGTTATAACACTCCTCTAATATCACGCTTCCTTCCCCCCCCCCCTTTTGCTACATTCTGTTTGTCCTTTTTCTGTAGGATTCAGTTGTTCTTCCCGGTCAACCAATTTTATTCTTGCTCTTCCCATTCTGAATTTCTGCAAAATGATTGGGGAAATAAAGTCTCTCATGGCACAACTGAAAGACATTCTGCTCCTTACCCAGGCTGTTGCTCTGTCTCTCTTTCTCCTCTCCCTCTCTCTCTCTCTCTTTCCTCTCTGTCCCTCTCTCCGATCTTCTGCTCACCTGGCAAGCTAGCTTCAAGCTGTTCTCCAACAAGCTCAGGGGTAGGCAACCTCGGCTCTTTTACGACTCATGGACTTTAACTCCCAGAATTCCTGAGTCAGCATAGCTGGGCTAGCTAGCTCTCTCCTGCCCTTCCTGCTTCCTGCAGAGACGCAGCAAAGGGAGGAGCCCCGCCCAATAAGCTTTTCAGCTTGTGGGAGAACACCGTGAGTCCACTCTCTTTTTCACACACACACACACACACACAGAGAGAGAGAGAGAGAGAGAGAGAGAGAGAGAGGGAGAGAGGGGAAGGGAAGCGCAAGTGCCTCTCTCTGTCTCTGTCTCTCTCTGCAAATGGCAGAGGAGGTTGGGAGCCGCAGGGGAAGGCTCAAAGAGCCACATGCAGCTCCGGAGCCGCAGGTTGCCGACCTGTGCTCTAGCTGAATATTCTGGGACATAATAAAGGAGAATATTTGCAGCTCAGGGTTAAACTGTGGGCTCCTTGGTGCTCTCTGTGCTTGGTTATTTTCTTGCAGATGTTTCATGACCCAACTAGGTAACCTCATCAGTGCTAGAAGGGGAGGAGTTTGTGGAGTAGAGGAGGAAGAGGAGGAGGACTGTGGCTCCTTGATCTCTGAACTTGTGGTTTTCCTGCAAATGTTTTGTGAACCAACTAGGTAACATTATGCAGCACTGAGGGTGTTACCTAGTTTAGGTAATGAAACATCTGCAAGAAAACAGCCAGGATCAGAGAGCACCAAGGACCCCCTCATTCTGGAAGTCAACAAGCCAGATTCTCTTAATGACCATGCAATTCCCTTAACTACTGTCTTGCTTAGCAATGGGAATTCTGGTTTAAATTTTGGTCGTAAGTCAAAGTCTCCCTGCAGTGGACAAATAGGGGAACATTAGACTGAAGGAATTACACTCTTCAGCCTTCTCCCATCGTCCCACTCCCAAGTTTTCAGAAATATTTATCATTAAATATGTATTCATCTGTGTTGCCGAGTCTCAAATAACTTGGAAGTTAAGCAGGGTTAGATCTGGTCAGTCCCTTAATGGGAATGTAGGCTAGACTGGAAATATGTTTAGGTGTGCGTCATGTATGTGTTTCACTTTGAGAGCGGGCAACTACATTTCATTTTTTGATGTGTGCTGCTGTGCCCACAGTAAAAAAATGACAATAAAGATTATCTTATATCTTATCTTATCTTATCTTATCTTATCTTATCTATCTTATCTTATCTTATCTTATCTTATCTCATCTCATCTCATCTCATCTCATCTCATCTCATCTCATCTCATCTCATCTCATCTTACCTCACCTCACCTCACCTTACCTCACCTTATCTCACCTCACCATACCTTACCTTACCTCACCTTACCTTACCTCACCTCACCATACCTTCTCACCTCACCTCACCTTACCTCACCTTATCTCACCTCACCATACCTTATCTCACCTCACCTCACCTCACCTTACCTCACCTTATCTCACCTCACCATACCTTACCTTACCTTACCTCACCTTACCTCACCTCACCATACCTTACCTTACCTTACCTTGTTTTATCTTATCTTATCTTGCCTTATCTTGCCTTATCTCATCTCATCTCATCTCACCTTACCTTACCTTACTTTACAACAATAACAACAACAACAATAATAATAATAATAATAATAATAATAATCTGAAAGAATGCAATGGCATAAAATCCCCATACTACTACTACTAATCATAATCACAATCACAGTAACAATCACAATCACAATCAATCATAATCTGAAAGAATGCAATGGCAATACATCTCCATACTGTTGCCAATAAAACAGCTTGGATGTATTCATGAAGTCACCAGGGTAGAGCTTGACTCAAGAATATCTTTATTTTATTGCCAAGTCTCAGAGCTGCTAATAAATATGATAAAAACTGGCAATAACTTCATAAAGCGTCCAGCCGAAGCTTAATTTGCAGCTGAGACAAGAATGGGGGAAGATTCCCCCCACACACACAAAAAAATGAAGCTATGAAAACATCTGGTTTTCCAGTGCAGGAGGCAGAGAGATCTGCATCTCTCTAAATAACATCTGGATTTTTTTTCTCTTCTCATTTCTGTCCAGGTCTTCAGGAGTTTCAGCCACTTGTGAAAATGGGCGTGTGTCTGTTGTGACAATGAGGTGCAACCCCACGAAACTTGGCCAGGGAGACATTTCAGTTCCCAGGTGTGTGTTACGATGAGAAGCTCAAGAGACCTCCATCTTTCTGAATAATTTAATATCTTTCAGATTCGCGTGCAACTCTTTCAGAACGTTATTGGAAGAACCCACCTTTTATGTTTGCTTTCACCTTTTATGTTTGCTTTCACCTTCCATTTAAATGGGCCTCCTGAGCAGGCTTTCTCCACCATTTTGTGCCATTTTGGATCCTTCTGAAAAATCTGGCAAAAATCTGTGGGCTTCTTCTCGGAGAGAATGTATTTTGTTGCATAAAATAAAATGCCCAAAGGAAACTTCTTAGTCCCGGTTATCAAAATATTAAAAATAATTCCAATAATATTAGACAGTGAGATTTATTCAAGTTAACCAATGTGTTTGGAGCCACGCGTCAATTACTTTGTCGCCTACATTCAACATAAGTTTTACCTACGGCCATTCGTTCAGTGACAGTGCTGAATGAATGGTAGTTACAGTCAGTCTTTGGCATTCCGGCTGTTCCAGCATCTCCACTGTCCTGTGATGCCTCCCTTAGCAATGGAAATTCTAGTCCAGGGGTCTTCAAACTTGGCCCTTTTATGACTTGTGGATTTCAACTCCCAGAATTCCTCAGCCAGCATGCCTGGGTGAGGAATTCTGGGAGTTGAAGTCCAGGGCTCTTCAAACTTGGCCCTTTCATGACTCGCAGACTTCAACCCCCAGAATTCCTCAGCCAGTGTACCTGGCTGAGGAATTCTGGGAGTTGAAGTCCACAAGTCATAAAAGAGCCAAGTTTGAAGAGCCCTGTTCTAGTCCCTATTGATGTCATAGGCTGAGGATTCCTTGTAGTGAATGAAAAGCTAAGTTTTAGTGTCCTTGGAGGGCTCCGTCCCAGGGTGGTCCCAATGGTGCTGTTCAAAAGATAGCTGGATTTTCCTGTTGTTGTTTTTTCCTTGAAAACACTTCGCTTCTCATTCAAGAGAAGTTGAGAACTGAAGAAGCTTCTTGGATGAGAAGTGAAAAAAGGGAAAAAAAATCAAGCAAGTCCAGTTGATTTTTGAACAGCCCTTTTGGCTCTAAATTTTGGTAAGAATTTAATGAAAATAAAGACTTAACTTTTTCCCCACCCAAGTTCACCAATATTTTGAAACAGGGGTCTTCAAACTTGGCCCTTTTATGACTTGTGGACTTCAACTCCCAGAATTCCTCAGCCAGGCATGCTGGCTGAGGAATTCTGGGAGTTGAAGTCCACAAGTCATAAAAGGGCCAAGTTTGAAGACCCCTGCTTTGAAATCTATCCACAGAAGGAATCCCTGAAGACCATCTTAAAAACGTCTAGAATATCTTGCTCGTATACTTCTTCCTAACATATTTCACTCTTACTCCATAGAACATTTTGTTTATTTTTTCTCCTAGAGAGGCTCTGCCGAATTTGACCTTGTAGTTTAGATTGGACCCCTTTCCTTTATATAATTGCACCAACCTAAACTCTTAACCATCTATAAACTATAAAGTGTGTAGATTGATGCTTGCAAAAAGGCAGCCCCTGGATGACTCCAGATGTGTGCATGCTGCTGACTCAGAATCAGAAGAGGAGGAGAAGACCATGCGTTAGAGGTTAGACTCCAGCAGGATTCCTTGTTGGAGGATGCCTGAAAGCACCACTGAGTAACTAAGATTAAAGAAGCAGAGTGCTCATAATATATTTATCTTGGATGTAGGAGATGAATTTAGCAACAGACCATGTGTTTTTTGCAGGACATGCACTGATGGTGTGACACAGTAGACGCCTCTTTGAGAACCAATTAAGTTAACAATTTTCTCCCTTTCTGAATGCATCCCTCTAACCCAGCCAGTATTTCTCCCCCAGTTCTTGTCCTGCAGGGACCTGTGATGGGTGTATATTCCGCTTCTTGTGGGAAAGCGCAGAAGCTTGTCCCATGTGTACCGAGCAGGACTATCACGAGATCGAAGGTGCTTGCAAAAAGGGGCACCAGGTAATTAACTGGTTACGTCTTTGGTGGCAGGATCAACACAGCTTCTGTAGTTGGACACTATACTTTCTATCTTATTAAAAATCCTAATTCTGTTACAAATTTGGGTAGGGCGCAAGGGATCCCAAATGTACCACCAGTGACCTTGGGTCTTCATTTTTTTTCTCCCATAAGCAGAGCTGAAATATAAGATACTTCAAAACATGAGAATATACTAAGACTTAAAATCATTTTAAAAAAATAAAGGAAGAAACACAAATAAAGGAAACATATGCCAGTTGTTGAAGAGAGTTGATTTACAAACCCCCAGTTGATCACTGGCTGGTTTTATGTAAGCCACTAGATCTGTTCTTTGGGGATAAAAAATGGGTGTGGATGAACGCTGTTGGAGATCTTGTATTCAAAAGAAAGGGTGAGAAATTTGCCAACCCTCTTCAATGTGGCCCTATGTTAAGATGTCCACAGGATATAAAATAATACATACAGTAGATGGTGAAAAGTATTGTTTGAATGGAAGATCTAGACCCAGATAAAAAGGACTAGGTCTTCTGTCTGTGGAAGTTCTCATTCATCCAGGTCATGGCTGTCCCAAAGCAGCTTTTTCAAAAGACAACTGGATTTTTCTTTATTTTTTTTTCCCTTGAATATGTTTCGCTTCTCATCTAAGAAACTTCTTCAGTTCTGGAGAACCGAAGAACTTCTCCAGAACTGAAGAAGCTTCTTGGATGAGAGGCAAAATGTCTTCAAGGAAAAAAACAACAAAGGGAGTCCAGTTGCCTTTTGAAAAAGCACTTTTGGGACAACCATGACCTGGATGACTGAGAATCTCATAAATGGAAGACCTAGTCCAGGGGTAGACAACCTTGGCTCTTTTATGATGCGTGGACTTCAACTCCCAGAATTCCTCAGCCAGCATGGCTCAGGTTGGAAACCTCTCCCTTTCCCCTCAGCATGGCTGGCTCAGGAATTCTGGGAGTTGAAGTCCACGAGTCATAAAAGAGCCAAGGTTGCCTACCCCTGACCTAGTCCTTGTTATTTGCAAAGATTCTTACAGAAGATGCTAAGAATCATATGGCCCAGACAGGAAAGTACTTCTTAAACAAAAAGATATCTTCAGCAGTATGCAGATAGAAGAAATATCTTGAATATGAGGTCTTGCTTAGAAACATAACAGAGAGGAGTCAACTAAATGTGCTTTACAACAAGGAAGAGAGAAAGGGGGAAAAACAATACTAGTTGCCTTCCTGTCCTGACTATTTACTTACAATGGAATTATTTGTCCTCAGTGGAAATCATAGACGATGGTTGATTAGATTCTTAGGCTCCTAGGATGTTTCAGTTTAATATTAAACTATTTAAATAAAAAAACATATGAACTTGTATATACATGCATTATTTCTTACTTCTCCTTAGCTTGCCTGGAATTGACTTAATGTGTCATTGCTTACTGTAAATGTAAGCTCCATAGAACTGAGTGGAATTGTCTCCTAGGAAAAATCAAATGTATAAAATTGATTGATTATTGATTGGTTGATTGATTGATTGTCTCATTTATTCACTCACTCACTCACTCACTCATTCATTCATTCATTCATTCATTCATTCTCTCTCTCTCTCTCATGCTTAGGAAACCTTATATGTCTGGAATGAACCGAAGTTATGTATAAAAGGGGTTTCCTTGCCTGAAAAAAAGATTATAATCTGTGAAACGCTGGATTTCTGGCTGAAAGTCGGTGCAGGGGTTGGTGCCTTCACAGGAGTCCTGCTCATTGCCTTAACTTGCTATTTCTGGAAGAAAAATCAGAAGTGAGTCCCCTATGTCCTTTTAAGGAGAAATCTAGTTGATTGGCTGATTTTGCAGAGTTAAATTCAGCTTAGGGTATTGTCTTTTTCTGACTTTCTGGATCTCAGCTGTTTATCCTTTTCCCCCAAATTAACCATCTCAGGAAGGAATCCACCTTTTTAAAAAACATTTTTCTTTAAGAAGAAATCATAGCCAAATCAACAAGGGAGCAAAGTGGGATGCCATGTTGATTAGATCTCACCCATTCCTGTAGCCTCACAACGGCATAATTTTATAATTACTTTGGGGTCCTTGGTGTTCTCTGAGCTTGCTGGTTTTCTTGCAGACATTTCATTACCGAACTAGGTAACATCATCAGTGTGCACATAATTACTTTGCTTCCTGCCTCTCTGAGAGACAGTCTGTCCTTCCATTGGTGGAGAGTTCCATTGGCCCACCTCCCCATTCCTGATTCCCCACTATTAGTTTGGCACCTTACCTTGCAGGACTCTTGTCAACTTGCACCATAACTTATGCAGGAGAGGGAGGAGTGGCCTCTGAAAACACCCCAAAAATCTTCTGTACTTTTGATGTGCAACTTACGTTTGCGTTGTCTTGTTTCTGAATCGGGGGGGGGGGGAAGCTCTGCTTAATTGTATTAAATATCTATCGGAAGAATCTTTTCTTATCTCACTGATTAATCCCCCCAGTTATAGTCTGTGTGAGTTGACAACATTGCTTCTTTTTTTAAAATTAGTTTACAATATAAAATACAAAATACAATAGTGGGAGAATAGGGGAGGGAGAAGGGAAGGGAAAAGGGGAAAAAGAAAAAAAGGCGTTGACTTCCATCTCCCTTTGGTGCCGCAGAATAAGATAATTACATCAAACCTCAACTTTTTACTTCGACATCGTAATGTAAACTAGCCGTTTCTATATAAAAAAAACACCCTACCCCAGTGGTGGCGAACCTATGGCAAGGGTGCCAGAGGCGGCACTCGGAGCCCTCTCTGTGGGCACATGCACCGTCGTCCCAGCCCCACCTCCTCCCACGGCCCCCTCTTCACCAGCAGCCCCCCTGGAGGAGAGCCGCCCCCAGGTGCGGCCCACGTAAAGCAGCACAGCCAAGGACATGGTAGCCGTGCACTGGGAACAAGTCTCTACCCTTGCAGCCCGTCATGCACATCTGATGCTGCGGGGCACGGGCAGAGGGCGTGGCCGCCATGGCGCTGCTGGGCTGCCTTGGTGATCTGTGGCGGGTTGTGGAGGTGGTGGGTGGCCCAGTGGGCAGGGCAGAGCAGGGAAGGGGGATGGGGGGCAGGTTTTGGGCACTCAGTCTCTAAAAGGTTCGCCATCACTGCCCTATCCAATTGGTAAACAAGCAAAATCAATGTTTAATTTTTTTTCCCCACCGCAAGCAGAGTCCGGAAGGGGCTTCCCAGTAGAAACAAAAAAGTCACTGTAATTTTTTTTTTCTTTAATCAAAGCGGTCAGTTTAGCACTAACATGGCTTCTGTCTGTATTGGTTTCCGCAGATTGGAGTATAAATATTCGAAACTGGTAATGACGGCCAATTCAAAAGAGTGCGAGCTTCCGGCTGCCGATAGCTGTGCGATCATGGAAGGAGAAGACAACGAAGAGGAAATAGTGTATTCGAATAAGCAGTCGTTGTTAGGAAAACTCAAATCACTGGCCACAAAGGTAAGCGTGGGAACCGCGAGAATTAACTTCTGACTGCAGTTGTATCTGGTCCTCTGAAGTATCACAGCAGAATAATTTAAAGGGAAATAACAAATAACAGAGTTGGAAGGGACCTTGGAGGTCCTCTAGTCCAACCCCCTGCTCAAGCAGGAGACCCTATACCACTTCAGACAAGTCTCTTCTTAAAAGCTCCAGTGATGGAGAAAGGAGGGAGGGAGGGAGGAAGGAAGGGAAGGAGGGAAGGAAGGAAGGAAGGAAGGAAGGAAGGGAGGAAGAAGAACAGCAGAAAAACAGAATTGGAGGGGACCTTGGAGGTCTTCTAGTCCAACCCCCTATATCATTTCTGACAAGTGGATGTCCAGTCTCTTCTTAAAAGCCTCCAGTGATGGAGAAAGGAGGGAGGGAGGGAGGGAGGGAGAAAGGAAGGAAAAAAGAATAGCAGAATAACAGAATTGGAAGGGACCTTGGAGGTCTTCTAGTCCAACCCCCTATATCATTTCTGTCCAGTCTCTTCTTAAAAGTCTCCAGTGATGGAGCACCCACAATTTCTGGAGGCAAGCCGTTCCACTGACTAATTGTGACAAAACAGCTATCCTCCGCTTATTACCATTCCTTTAGTGACTGTTTGAAGTTACAATAGCACAGAAAAAAATGTGTTTTATGACTGGTCCCGGTGCTTACAACCATCATCCAGCACCCCCATGGTCATGCGATCAAATTCAGGTATTTGACCACTGGCATTTATTTATGATGGTTCCAGCATTCTTGGGTCACGTGATCCCCGTCGTGACCTTCCCAACCAGCTTCCAACAAGCAAAGTCAATAGGGAAAGCAGGATTTGCTTAATGACCCTGATTTACGTAACCACTGCAGAGCCTGGGTGGCGCAGTGGTTTGAATGCAGCATTGCAGGCAAACTCTGCCCGCTGCCAGCAGTTCGATCCTGACCAGCCAAGGTTGATTCAGCCTTCCATCCTTCTGAGGTCGTAAAACGAAGACCCAAGTTATTGGGGGCAAATGCTGACTCTGTAAAACCGTTTAGAGAGGGCTGTAAAGCACTGTGAAGCGGTATATAAGTCTAAGTGCTATTGCTGTTTAGAAAAAGGTGGAAGTCAATGAGATGAAAATATCTAAGCAAGCCAACTGTCTGGGGCCCATACAACAAAGGAAAAGCATTTCCCCAAACTCATTGCTGAAAGCAAAATGCCGTATCCTGGAGTATTAAAGCATCTAAATCCTCTAAGGCAGGGGTCCTCAAACATGGCCACTTTAAGACTTGTGGACTTCAATTCCCAGGATTCCCCAGCCAGCCATGCTGGCTGGGGAATTCTGGGTGTTGAAGTCCACAAGTCTTAAAGTGGCCACGTCTGAGGACCCCTGCTCTAAGGCACTCATAGCAGCTGCCTCAAAGGACATCCCTTTGATCATGGTGGCGCAGTGGTTCGAATGCAGCATTGCAGGCAAACTCTGCCCACTGCCAGCAGTTCGATCCTGACCGGCTCAAGGTTGACTCAGTCTTCCACCCTGCCGAGGTGGGTAAAATGAGGACCCAGATTGTTGGGGGGCAATAGGCTGACTCTGTAAAATCCCTCAGAGAGGGCTGGAAAGCCCTCTGAAGCGGTATACAAGTGTAATTGCTCTTGCTATCCACTTACCAAAAAAAGTCATAAAATTGATCACAGCCCACTTAACAATTGCCTTGCTTTGCACTGGAAATTCTAGTTGTAAGTTGAGGACCACCTGTATGGAATATTTCAGTGGTGGCGAACCTATGGCACGTGTGCCAGAGGCGGCACTCGGAGCCCTCTCTGTGGGCACGCTCGCCATGCCCCGGAGATGGCAACCGTCCCTCTTCAACCAGCCTCCCACTAACTCGCCGAGGTCCCACATAGCTGGATGCATCCTAGCACCCATGCGCTCGCTGGTGTCTGTGTGCAGGGGCTGATGGTGTCAGGCAGCAGCCACCCCGTCCCCTGCCTCACCTTGTCCTGTGACAATGGCACCCCCGCCCTGCCTCACCTTGCCTCGCCTCACCCCGCAGGTGAGCCTCCTGCCCCCTGCCCCACCTGCCAGAGACCCCCTGGATCTCCCCCAACCCTGCCCAGCCCCCAAAGGTGTCCCTCCCCACGAGCAACATTGAGGTGATCACGCCCACCTTGGCCACACTCACCCAGTCTGCCATGACCACCACAACCACACCCATCCAGTGGGCCATGCCCACTTGGCACCCGTCAATAAATAAGTGGGCTTTGGGTTGCAGTTTGGGCACTCGGTCTCTAAAAGGTTCACCATCACTGGAATATTTCATAAATAAAACTGGTGATTGCATAGCACAAGCTTTATCAGGAGCATCCTCTATGCCATTTCATTATTATTATTTCTTAATGTGCAAATCTTGTCTGCATTTCGTGTGATTTTTTTCCCCCCTCTTGCGCATCGGTTATTTTTTCTTTTCTTTTTTTAACTCAAGGGAATTTGTTCCCGTAAAACTGTCATGTCCCTTTCTCTCTCTAAACTTCAAAGCGGCTTCCAGAAAATCTTTAGAAAGCTATTTAAAATTGAGACAATAAGCATCTTCAAAATGGAACGTTTTTAACAAGAGCTGAGTGAGCCGAATAAAAAGTGGTGCTTGGAAGATAATTCTTCCCCCCCCCCCGGTGTGGGATAGGTATGCAAACTAGGTACAAAATGTAATAGGTAGAAACTCAGTCCTCGCACACAGATACACACACACACACACACACACAAACACTGCAACACGTGAGGTTAGATAATCAAATTCGGTTCCTGATTTCATGGATCATCTTTCCCTAATTTGAATAGACAAAATGCCTTTTTAGTTCTATTATTTCAAGTTGGAGCATCTTCTGAAGGAGGCCATCTGATGATGTGGTGAGGTCATTGGAAGCGGGGCGAGCAAATCATTTTGGATTGCTTTTTAGCCTTTATGGGTAGAGAGCAAGAGCTAGAAGAAGACCCTCAAAAGAAGGTTGCTGCCATTGTTGTTGTTGTTAGTTGCGAAGTCGTGTCCGACCCATCGCGACCCCATGGACAACGTTCCTCCAGGCCTTCCTGTCCTCTACCATCTTCTGGAATCCATTTAAGCTCACGCCTACTGCTTCAGTGACTCCATCCAGCCACCTCATTCTCTGTCGTCCCCTTCTTCTCTTGCCCTCAGTCTTTCCCAGCATTAGGCTCTTCTCCAGTGAGTCCTTCTTTCTCATTAGGTGGCCAAAGTACTTGAGTTTCAGCTTCAGGATCTGGCCTTCTAAAGAGCAGTTGGGGTTGATCTCCTCTAGGACTGACCGGTTTAATTGCCTTGCAGTCCAGGGGACTCGCAGGAGTCTTCTCCAGCACCCTAGTTCAAAGGCCTCCATTCTTTGGCGCTCAGCCTTTCTTATGGTCCAACTTTCACAGCCATACATCGCAACTGGGAAAACCATGGCCTTGACTATACGTACTTTTGTTGGCAGGATGATGTCTCTGCTTTTTAGTATGCTGTCTAGATTTGCCATAGCTTTCCTCCCCAGGAGCAAGCATCTTTTAATTTCTTGGCTGCAGTCCCCATCTGCGGTGATCTTGGAGCCCAGGAAGATAAAATCTGTCACTACCTCCATTTCTTCCCCATCTATTTGCCAGGAATTGAGAGGGCCGGATGCCATTGCCACCTTTAAAACCTCTGGGTTTGTACAGGGCTTTAGGCTTGATTTGGAACATCGAAAAGGGCAAATCTGCCCACGTCCATTACTTCTTAAAGCAGCTATGTCTCTTTTCTGGAATCGTGTGCCTGCAGCGGAATCCCTCTCGTGACGCCTACCCGATCCAGAGAAGAGACACGGCTGCTTTAACGAGTTGCAAGCCAGCGCTGCGTTTGCGCTGCTGTGTTTTGCTGTACTTGGACCTCATACCATCCTATGTCTGAAGAACAGACACGGATAATTGCATGCACATATAATTTGGCAGCAGTCCAAACATTACAGGTAGTTAAATGCTGGGTTCACACCATCTGCTTATCCAGAGAAACTTGACAGCTGTATCCAGAGGAGGGTCTGCTTATTTTGGTTTTGAATTTGTGTGGGTTGGTGCATTTGTCATGTGTATCCATCTGTCTGATTTATTTATTTATTTATTTTTGCAATTAAGTGTTCTGTGGGAACTCATAAAATTAGATAATTCAATCCCCAAGTGCAGCCAATGTCTATCTAAATGCTTCTAATAGATTTGATATATTTCTCAATGGTTTGGTTTAGAACTAGACAAGGGAAAGCCTGATTAGTACTTGGATAGGAGACCACCAGGGGATCCTAGGGCTATAGACTAGCCTGGAAAACTAAAAAAAAAAAAAAAAACCATTCCAGACAACGGTAGTTGCAAACCATTTGCATATCATGGCTAAAAGAGTTACACAGTTGTGTCTACGCAGTCATCAAAAGTCAAATGTGAAATTTCCATTTTTGATTTGACTTTTATTTGGTTATATTTTTACATATTTTGTTATAAAATATAATATATGTTATATTTTTGTTATATTTCCCCTATTATTAAGAGCCGTGGTGGCGCAGTAGCTAGAATGCAGTATTGCAGACTAATTCTGCCCACTGCCAGCAGTTCGATCCTGACCAGCCCAAAGTTGTCTTGGCCTTCCAGCGTTCCGAGGTCGGTAAAATGAGGACCCAGATTGTTGGGGGCAACAGGCTGACTCTGTAAACCGCTTAGAGAGGGTTGTTAAAGCAACGAGAAACGGTATATAAGTCTAAGTGGTTCTCAACCTTTTTAATGCCGCGACCCCCAACCGGTCGTAAGTCGAGGACTAAACCGGTCATAAGTTGAGAACTAAACCGGTCGTAAGTCGAGGACTACCCAACCGGTTGTAAATTGAGGACTTTCCCTGCCCGGGAGCGCCACGCATGTGTGGTTCCGCCCCCTGCGCCAGCCGAGGCGTAGCTGGCAAGCGGCAGAGACGGAGCAGGCCGACCACCAGCTGGCCCAGCCCAAGGGAGGTAAGCCACCTGCCGGAAAAGGGGAAAAAATGGCGGACAAAAATGGTGGACAAAAAAAATGGCGGACAGCCTTGCTTGGCGACCCCCGGGAAATGGTTGATCGACCCCAAATGGGGTCGCGACCCATAGGTTGAGAACCGCTGGTCTAAGTGCTATTGCTATTGCTATTTTGTAGTCTTTTGGTCTTAGCGAGAACGCTACGTTAGGGAGGGGCCTTTTGCTCAATTCTGTTGGGTGGATCAGTGACCACCTTCAAACTTTTTTCTTTTCTGACTTAGGAAAAAGAGGACCGCTTTGAATCTGTCCAGCTGAAATCCTCCAGATCTCAAAATATATGAAGATTCAGCTTTGCCCATTGAGTCCAATTTCTATATCCAGGGGACCAATTTTTCAACTCGTGCTGGCCCACATTGGAGGGCCAACTGGCTTCCTGTGAGAAACGTTGAGCGATCCCAGGTGGACAAAGAAAGCAACAAAGAAAGAGAAGGAAAAAAGAGAGAGAAGATACTGCCTTATTGTGAGACTCAGTTGCCAAAAGCAAAGCCAGCCCTTGGCATCTTACAGCTGGTTCAACTCAGGGAATGAGGAACCATGGATGGTGTAGCCTGTTGGGTTGGCTCAGAGGCAGAAAATGTGCATGGCATTTCCTTAAATATACAGTAGCAAGAAATTAAGAAATGGACAGTTTTTTGCCCTCCCTGCTTCTTCGGTTCTCATCTCTTTTCCAGATGTTGCTTCATTCTGTCCTGGGAGAGAGAGGTCCTACCTGACACCAGGTAGAGACCTACCTGTGCATTGCTCTGGCATGGCCGATGCTGCTTCTTATTATCCCTCAAGTTCCTGGCGGTCACCGACATGAAACTGCCTGCATCTTAGAACGTTTCCATGACCAGATTCCACCTTGCCACGTTGAGTTTTCATCTTGAAGTTGAAACTTCAATTAATACTTGAAACAGAAGAACTGTGGATGGTTCCAGTCTCCATCTTTGAAAAAGTTTCTTTCTCATCTTTGGAAAGCAGTGTGCTTGACATAGAGAGCAGTGTGTGTGTGTGTGTGTGTGTGTGTGTATGTCTTGCTGAAGACTGGGAATCTAGTTTCTCACCAGTAGAACCAGCCTCTTCCAGTTGCAGGTGGACCACACTTAAAGATAAAAAATGTCATTCTCTACCTGGTTATCCAGAAAGGCAGCCCTCTGTGTTCAGTGGGACTTGTTCCCTAACAAAAACTATCAGAGGCTTGGTGCAGCTCACACTTAACACCCAAACTCATTGGCTTTACACAAACCCTTTCCTACGGAGGTCCTTTCCCCCACGATTGTGTTTGTTTCGCTTACACCTTAATCAATCCTACGCACACTCTTTTCACTGGTGGTGTAGGAAATGGGACTGTAATGAGGAACTAGCTGCCTTTTACAGCACTGATGGCCTATGGCTACCGAAGGTGAGACCTGGCTCTTCTTAATGTCCGTGTTCACCTGAATAGTTGGATGCTTAAGGATCATGTTTGGTCTGTGCACACCTGTCTAGATTGAGAGGGAAATAATCAATGCAAATTGGGCTTCACATTTTTTTTTTGATATAATCTTACTTCCTTGCACTTATTTCCTTCTGCAGGTTGCAACAGAAAAAATATTCAAGGTGAACAGAGTCAGCAGTTGGGTATAAGAGCAGTGAGGGGGATAGAGGAGGAATGAAGGAGTAACTCATGGACCAAACGAGCTTTGTTGTTGTTGCAGAATCATTTTCCAGCAGGTGAGAAGCATCTGAACGGTAGCCCAGGGCTGGATAGACCACAGGGGAATTTTGGTCTTGCTATGGCCCTCCTTTCTTCTCTCGACCATGCCCAATGCCAAAAATCAGCCATAAGGATGTCATATAATCTTCACGTTTTCAGAATTTCCAACATAAAGGCTATGGATGCAAATATCCATTAGTAGAAAACCAGGGAGATAAATTCTATGAAAGTTAACAGTAAGTTTTATAAACGTATAGTTAAGTTATGGGTGAACTGGGATTTTTTTAATGAGTTCTAATAGGTTCTGAAATGGTTCTAATGAATTCTAAAAATATATAACTGTGTGTATAGTATAAAGCACTGGAAAAAAAACGAAGGGAGACTACTATAATGAGGGGTTTTTTTTTTAAAAAAAAGAAAAAACAAAAAAGCCATTCTCTGTGGTTTATGGCAGACGTTTGATTAATAATCCTTCTTTGAATGAAACCAGATCTGAAACTGTATGCATTCTGAATAATTACCCCAGACTCCCAATACCGGTTCTGAAGATTTATTAATCTTTCATAGGAGAAAGATAATTAAATTTACCCAATGTGCCACATACAGTTCCAGAATATAGGATTTCTCCTCCTTTGTGCGTCACAGAAATTCAGGAAGGGCTTGCAAATTCCTCATTGTTAAAATTGCACTGCGCTTCAACCCTGACAAACACAGGCACACAAAAGATGGGAAAAAAACCCAGCACATTTTCTTTACCTCTGAATGCTTGAACAAAACGATCTGGTGCATTTTTACTCGGAATTAGTTTGCAGGGGTTTCGGTGAGACTCACTCCTTACTCTCTATGCTTTGGATTATAATTTTAAGGCTTTTTTTTTGTATATTTGGTGAGCTTTGTCTATAACTTTTTCTTTATTTATTTGCCGTGAAGGTTTGGGATACAAGCAGTCCTCAACTTACGACCACAACCAAGCCCAATATTTCTGTTGCTAAGAGAGACAGTTCAGTGAGTTTTGCCCTGTTTTATGACCTTTCTTGCTGCAGTTGTTATATGAATCACTGCAATTGTTATGTTAGTAACCCGGTTGTTAAGTGAAGCTGGCTTCCCCCATTGACTTTGCATGTCGGAAGGTCGCACGAAAAGGATCACCTGACCCCGGGACGCTGCGACCGTCATAAATGTGAGTCAGTAGCCAAGATCTGAATTTTGATCACGTGACCGTGGGGATGCTGCAACAGCTGTAAATGTGAAAAACGGTCACAGGTCACTTTTTAAAAATGCAATTGTAACTTAGAAGGGTCACTAAATGAACTGCTGTAAGTTGAGGACTATTTGTATTACTTTTTTTTTACTGGATAGGCATTGTGCTGTTGTTGTTATTATTATTTCTCTGTGGAATGATTTTTACGGGACACCCTCCTCGGTTTAAACAGTTAGAAGCTGGCCCTTTGAATAATTTTGGTTGCATTGCTAAAATTAGAATGGGGCATTTTGAAATACTACTTCGCAAATTTCTCCAGGGGTTTAAGAGATGCTCAAGGAGTGTCTGAAGACCAGGGCTTTCCTCGGGGAAGTGACGGCAGCCCAGTTGTGCTGCTAGGGAACGTAAACAGCACGGAAAGGAACACTTCCTCCTCGTGCTGCCTTTTCGTAGAATTCAGTTGCGGTGTGGGAAGAGTGTGAGGAAGCTGCCACTTCAGGAAAGATTGTTTGAAAACAAACAAACAAACGAACAAAAGAATAGAAGCCTCGGCTGTCTCATTAGATCAGTGGTTCTCAACCTTCCTAATGCCGTGACCCTTTAATACAGTTCCTCATGTTGTGGTGACCCCCAACCCTAAGGGCTCTCCAAGCGCGCACTGACGCCGCCCACTCACCTGCCACGCCCGGGGCTCAGCGTGCCTCGCCTGTCCTTGTCTCACTTCCAAAGGTCGCCGGCCTGCCTGGCTCCAGCTGGCCGGGGAGGGGGGCAGGAAGGCCACTCCGCCAGCTCTGCCCAGCCTGGTTGGGGAAGCGCCCAGGCGGGGAGAGGGAGAGAGAGCGAGAGAGAGTGAGAGAAAGCGAGAGCCAAGAGGGCGACAGCACTGGCAGAGCTTAGTTCAGCCTCCTCCATGGAAAGGGCTGTGAAGCAGCGCAGCCTTCCTTAGAAGATGCTCGACGGAAACGAATCCGGCACTGCAACGGCCCCCAGCTCGAAGCCGTGCGAAGATGGATAGAGGAGCGGTGTCTCGGTTCCTAAGACCATCGGAAATATGTGTTTTCCGATGATCTTAGGTGACCCCTGTGAAAGGATCGAACGACCCCCAAAGGGGTCGCGACCCACAGGTTGAGAACCGCTGCATTAGATAGAATGAACAGCGAAGGCTATCCAAAAGAACATTGTTCTCCTTTGAAAGCCGTGTCCTAAAAACAGTTCCATAAAAGAAGATGTCGTAGCTTTAACAAACCCATCCAAGGTCACCTGAGTCTTTAAAGCAGCTGCCTCGCTTTTTCAGGAGGCGCCAAGACTGCAAGAGGCTCATACCCTGTCTCAATTGGTTTTTGAAGCATCATCTGTGGAATAAACAGTTCCTCCCCGGTGTGGTTTTTTAAGAGGCTCAGGTTCAGTGGCGGGATTCAGCCGGTTCGCACCACTTCGGCAGAACCGGTAGCTAATTTTTTGTTGCTCAGGCCCAGAACGGACTTCTGGAAGCGGCATCCACACAGAAAACCGGTTGTTCACCTATCTGAATCCCACCACTGCTCAGGTTGGTGTGTTGCACCACAGAGAGAACTGAACTGAAGAGGCTTCTCAGATGAGAATTGAAACATTATCTCCCCCCCCAAAAACCCCCCAAAACAAAACAAGAAAGTCCAGTTGCCTTTTGGAAAAGCACCTTTGGGACGACCGTGACCTGGATGGTGGAAAATCTCCATAGACCAGTTGTTCCAGGAACCAGTTGTTCCTGGAACAAGTACTGTATCCACCTGATCATTTCTGAGCGTTCAGACATCTGCTGAAGAGAAGTTCATCCTAGTCACAGGAGATTTTTTTCCCCTTGTTTTGGCTGGGCTGTATCTTTCTTGGCCCTGTTGATTTCTTTTATTTCTTTCTTAGATTTACACCTCACTTTTGCCCAAGGAATTCAAAGCAACATCCATAACATCCAGTTTTTCTCCACTGCAACCACAGATAGGCTGGGTTGAGAGGGATTAACTGGATGAGAGGCTGCAGGGCTAAGGCTAGATTTGAACCCGGGTCTTCCCAGCCTTGGTCTGACACTTTCCTCACTACCACACCCTGCTTGATGCTGGCTTATCTAAACTATCAGTGTTGGATTCTGTATCTTTCGATTTGTGGGACACAGAGGTATGATGTACTGTAGGCACCTTAAAACGCAAATGTCTCTACTTTTTTTTCTTTCTATGAAGACCAAAACATGATTGTTTCTAACTTTCCTCAAGAGCATCTCTTTTACATGATTTATGGGGGGTATATTCAGAACCTGTGGCCTCTGGGTGAGGTTGGACATGTCTCACAACATCAACCAAGCTGTTGGAGGGTGGAGGAAATTTTAGCAAAGGAGGTGGCTGACAGAACCCTCTCCTCAGAAGGTTTGATTATGTTTAGCAATTTTTTTTTTGGAAGAAACACAGGCTTCCATTCTTGCCTTATAATATTACAACTGGGACACAAAGTGTAACCTGTAGGTTTACCGTGTTCTGAGGAGAGAACGTCAGAGAGGAAAAGTACCGTCTCCCTGCTGTATCAGAAGCATCCAAAAGCTTAGAATGAAGAGAATACACCAAACACCTGTCAAAAGCTTTGATAGTGTGGCCAGCTGAGGTTTCGTACTTTGCTCTCCTCAGTTTACCTTTCATGTGGTTGGTAGCAGAGTTTAGTGTGGCAGTGTTTTAGTTTGAATGGGTTTCAAATCGGGGGAGTGAGGCGGAAATATGTAGGGTATCCTGGCCACAGTTCGTCCTCTGCAATTTTCAATGAGGAATTTGAAGTTCTAGTACAGGGGTCTTCAAACCTGGCCCTTTGATGACTTGTGGACTTCAACTCCCAGAATTCCTCAGCCAGACATGCTGGCTGAGGAATTCTGGGAGTTGAAGTCCACAAGTCATCAAAGGGCCAAGTTTGAAAACGCCTGTTCTAGTAATTCTGTCTAGCTGCGCATGTCTATAAATACGTATTAATGGAGTTTTCCCCGAGTAGTCCTCAATTTACGACCACAATTGAGCCCCAGATTTCTGTTGCTAAGTGAGACAGTGGTCAAGTGAGTTTTGCCTCATTTTACAACCTTTCTTCCCACAGTTGTTAAGTGAGTCACTGCAGTTGTTAACTTAATAACCTAATTATTAACTGAATCTGGCTTCCCAATTGACTTTGCTTGTCAGGTCGCAAAAGGGATCACATGATCCTTGGACACAGCAACCGCCATAAATATGAATCAGTTGCTAAGTGTCTGAATTTTGATCACATGACCCATGGGGTTGCTGCAATGGTTGTAAGTGTGAACGGTCACTAAATGAACTGTTGTTAAGTCGAGGACTACCTCTATAAATATAACTCACCCAAGTAGAAAAATTGTTCGCCCTAAAGGATCACATAATTTTGGGTGGGCTGGGAAATTAGGAACGTCCAAGGGCGAATTATGGAAACTTGATTTTAATGCAATTTCTTATGCTTCTCGGGCGATTAAGAACATTTTTTTTTCCAATGTTTCTCCAGCAGTTTTAATTTAAACTCTTCCAAATTGGCTTGAATGCCAATTCTGCAATTGGAATTTCTGTTGTATCCCATGTAGCCATATCGGTTATGAAATTGCTGCTATGAGTTCAAACGATGCGAAAGGTGGTTGTTTAACCTTTGGATTTCAACTAATAAATGCCAGCCTTTATTGACCTAATTGGCTGAAATTGTATCTTTGTTCTTAACACCCAGTGTTAACACCCACTCAGTCAAGTAGAGACCTAAAGGATTAATTTTCAGCATATCTCATGGTTATAGACACTGAGAATAATTGGTTAATTTGATTAACCTTGTAACTTCTTTTATTTCTGCTATTATTGTACTTAAGCCTCAGAGAGATGAATTTCTGAAGCAGATCAGAGCATGGACAGGGAAGAAATATCAACTTTTGGTTAACTTAAAGTAACTCATTTGAATTATTTTCCTGCGGAAGGCTACAAATGAAAACACTGGACATTTCACTAATTTATTAACGCCTTTAAAAAAAAAATTCAGTATAATGTTTAATGAAGTTTAATGAAGAGAAGAACGAGGGGGGACATGATAGTAGTGCACCAATATCTCAGGGGCTGCCACAAAGAAGAGGGAGTCAAGCTATTCTCCAAGGTGCCTGAAGGCAGGACAAGAAGCAACGGATGGAAACTAATCAAGGAGAGAAGCAACCTAGAATTAAGGAGAAACTTCCTGGCAGTTAGAACAATTAACCAGTGGAACAACCTGCCTCCAGAAGCGGTGAATGCGCCAACACTGGAAGTTTTTAAGAAGAGACTGGTCAGCCATTTGTCCGAAATGGTATAGGGTTTCCTGCCTGAGCAGGGGGTTGGACTAGATGACCTCCAAGATCCCTTCCAACTTTATTATTATTATTATTATTATTATTATTATTATTATTATTATTATTATTATTATTGTTGTTGTTGTTGTTGTTGTTATTATTGTTGTTATTATTATTATTACACCGTTGACCAGCTAATTTGATGCAAGACCATCGTTGCCACAAACCAGTTTCAGACCATTCTCCTCTCACAACAAGATTCCCAAAGAATAGAAGTGTGACAAACAAAGATAAAACTTATCTTTGCGGCGGTTTCTACTATGTCGTAGCTGAGCTGGAAAGGACGTGACTCGGTTGTCCTTCTCTGTGTGAAGGTGGTTGAATAAATTTGAAGGATATTTTTTTTTTTGAAAGAAAGAAAGAAAGAAGACAGGTTGGAAAACTTTTCTGATTTTATTACGGACGTCTTTAATACTGCCATGAAAACCGTCTGTCGCACAGAATGTGACTATAATATACAACATAGAAATGCAATCTAAATTACAACAAGGAATTACAAAAAGGAAAAAAAAAGTCTCTTGTTAGAAAGAAAGCCACCTAACATGGCAATTTTATCATCCTCTTCACCGCTGAGGTCAACCTAACTGGCACTATTTGAGTCATAGCTATTTATACATCCTTTAGAACGGTTAATCTCAGAAGGGCCCTAAAGTTGCTCTGGAAAGAGCAGCACAATAGACTGTACAGTCCTCAAAAATAATTTATTACACGGTTTCTAGAAAAGAAATGCTAGTCCTTTTAAAAGGGTCGCTTTTTATCCCAGGGGGCACAAGAAATGTGCTTTTCTCTCTAACCATCTAAGAATACAAAAGCCGGCTGAAGGATTATAAGGAGGAGGTGGTGGAATCCACAACTTCTCTTCCATTGCAAACCGTTGGAACGTAGACATTTGCTGAGGCTGAAAGAGAAAAAAACGGACTTTAGAGGCTACAGAGGACTACCCCAAGCATCACATTTTCAGGATCACAGCGGGATTTTTTTTTAAACCGAAGGGATCCCCCCCTACGTAAACATTCAAAAACAGGGCAGAGCTTTGATCACGTGGTCAACCGATGCCATTTTGATTTGGTTGACTTCACATCCGACCCCTAGGAAATCTGGGTGTCAGTGCTGGAATGACACTAAGAATAAAAAACCAGGAGACAGTGAATTCTAGTCTGTCATAGGCCTGGAGTTGGCTGGGTGACTTTAGGCCAATCACCAGGAGACCGTGAATTCTAGTCTGCCTTAGGGCTGGGAGCCAGCTGGGTGACTTTAGGCCAATCACCAGGAGACCGTGAATTCTAGTCTGCCTTAGGCCTGGAAGCGGGCTGGGTGACTTTAGACCAGGGGTAGGTAACCTCGGCTCTTTTATGACTCATGGACTTCAACTCCCAGAATGCTGACTCAGGAATACTGGGAGTTGAAGTCCATGAGTCATAAAAGAGCCGAGGTTGCCTACCCCTGCTTTAGACCAATCACCAGGAGACAGTGAATTCTAGTCTGCCTTAGGCCTGGAAGCTGGCTGGGTGACTTTAGGCCAATCACCAGGAGAAAGTGAATTCTAGTCTACCTTAGGCCTGGAGCCGACTGGGTGACTTTAGGCCAATCACCAGGAGAAAGTGAATTCTAGTCTACCTTAGGCCTGGAGCTGGCTGGGTGACTTTAGGCCAATCACCAGGAGATAGTGAATTCTAGTCTGTCTTAGGCCTGGAGTCGGCTGGGTGACTTTAGGCCAATCAACAGGAGATAGTGAATTCTAGTCTGCCTTAGGGCTGGGAGCCGGCTGGGTGACTTTAGGCCAATCACCAGGAGATAGTGAATTCTAGTCTGCCTTAGGGCTGGGAGCTGGCTGGGTGACTTTAGGCCAATCACCAGGAGAAAGTGAATTCTAGTCTGTCTTAGGCCTGGAAGCCGGCTGGGTGATTTTGGGCCAATCACCAGGAGATAGTGAATTCTAGTCCTTCCTTAGGCACAGAAGCCAGCTGGGTGACTTTGGGCCAATCACCAGGACAGAATGAATTCTAGTTCTGCCTTAGGCATAGAACCAAGCTAGGTGACTTTGGGCCAATCACCAGGAGACAGTGAATTCTAGTCCCACTTTAGACAGGGAAGCCAGCTGGGTGACTTTGGGCCTGTTGCTCACTCTCAGCCCAACTCACCTCACAGGTTGTTAGTGTGGGAAAATAGAAGGAGGAAGGTGATTATGTTCACGGCTTTGAGTTATTTGTAAAAATAGTAAAGTTGAGATACAAATAAATATTTGTGATATTTTGCTGTAGCTATCAGCTTCTATGACTTTCTGGGACAGCGACGGAGAAGTGCTCAAGTGAAGGGAACATCTTTTTTTTCTTGTCAAAGGAAGAAAAGACTGCAGCAACTTTTATCGATTACCTTGGGAATAACTGGTTCCTGTCCCACTGACACTGAACCTGTTGAGGTGCAGCCTGTGAGTGACCACATTCTTCTGTGGTTGGAAGAGAACGATATGCACTTTAGGAGCAAACAAACAGCCCAGGACAACGAAGCCACTCAGGCTGACAGAGATGCACATGGTGGTGGTCTGCACCTGCATGGGGAAAAAAGAAATAATAATGCTTGGAAAAAAATATTGCAAAATTAGAGAAGTCAGCGAGGGAGGTGCAGGAATTCTCATTTCAGATGTTGCCAACGAAGAATGAAAGATGAACCCTCTGCATCAAAGGTAGCCTTCTACACGTGTTTAGATGACGAGTCCTCTTAACTGCAACCTATGAAGTGGGAAGGGTCCAGGACAACTCAACTCAGCCAACTTGCCACAGGGACAATTCACCACAGCCAACTTGCCACGGGACAGCTTGCCGCAGGACAAAAGTGACATAACATCGAAGAGGTTGATAAAACGAGGACCCAGATTATTAGGGGCAATATGTTGGCGTTTGTAAACTGCTCAGAGAGTGCTGTAAAGCACTATGAAGTGGTATACAGTGTTATCGCTATTGCTATAGGATGGCCCTGGGTGTCTTAGGACTGACCAGTCTTTGTCTTAGCCCAATGTATTTCGCAGGATTTTGGGAAGAGAGAGTATGCAGACATGAGCTTGAACTCCTGAAGAAAAGGTGGGATATGAATCTTATGAATGGAAGAATGGATGAATGAATGAATGAATGAATGGATGAATGAATGAATGAATGAATGAATTTGTGGAAGTCACCCCCCCACAGAGAAGGAAATATTAAAAGGGCAGAATATTATATTTCCTCAAAAGATCTTAAAGAGTCAGAAAAGCATGCCCAGTTTTTCTTAATAGCCCCATGTCTCCCTCCCCCAAGCAGAAACCAGCTCTGTAGAAATGCAGATGTGATAATCCATTCAGGAAGGTTGGAGCCCTCTAGCTAGAAACTTAGGAAGACAAAGACACCTAAAATCTACCCCACCCAAATTCTAAGACAGGACATAATAGGATTAACCCACAGATGCCAAAGGGGCACATTCAGACTCAGGTCAAAGTACATGACACAGGAAATACAAAGCCTCAAACAGGAACAGGAAACAACCTCAAGAGCCCCAGAGGGTATAAAACCCACTCCCTACATGTGCTCTCGCTCTTTTCTTCCAGAGCCATCTTTCTGTCTGGCTCTCCTCTTCAATAAACTACAACCTTCTTTCTAAAGCAATCACCATGTTGTTTATTCCCGGCTTGGACTGGACCCCGATGAAGACTTTTCCTTCAACAAATGAATGAAATGAAAGTCTAAAAGAGGAAAAAAGGCTTTGCTAGTTATGTTTCAGTTCAGTCTTTCCCCCTGACTCTACCCATCTCAAGGACACAATGTCTAATAATTTCTGAGAAAAAGTGGCACTTGTATTCCACATATTTATGTTCTCTGCTCTCACGTTGCTGAAAATCTCTATCTGCCACAGACTATATTCACTTTGGTTATTCGTTTAGCCCTGGGCTGACTTTTGAAGTGCCCGCAATAACTTTTTTAAACAAACAAACAAACAAACAAACAAACAAAGGAATGTGGGTTAGTATTTGGCTGAAATGACGGCGGGCGCCTTACCCTGTAGTCACTCGATGTCACATAAAAGATTGGCAGGAATGCCAGCCAAATAATGCAAGTTGTGTACATGGTGAATCCAATAAATTTGGCTTCATTAAAATTTTCCGGGCACTTTCTTGTTTTGAAGGCATACACAGTGCATAAGAGGACGAGGATCACATCGTATGTTAAAGAGATGAGCATGCTGGCATCTTTGACGTTGCATTTCAGGATGACCGTCTGCCTCTTCTCCAGAAGGGTGTGTCGGCGAGTGCCCGGAGCTTCTAAAACCAGCCACACGGACACCAGCACAATCTGCACCATGATGAAACTCAGGCAGATGAGGACTTGAGAACGGGGGCTGATGAATTTCGGCCTCTGCGCCCCGTTCTTCACCCCATTAAATATCCTGGCAATGCAGTTCGTTTTGGTCAGGAGAGCCGAGTAGCAAATGGCGAAGGACGTTCCCAGACCCAAACGACGCAAGGTGCATATGGCTGGAGAAGGCTTGGCGATGAAGAAGAAGGTCATGCTGTAGGAGAGGAAGACTCCGAAAAGAAGGATGTAGCACAACTCACGGCTGGAGGCCTTCACCAAAGGCGTGTTGTTGTGCTTGATGAAAACCCCCACCACTAGGAAAGTACAAATGAAGCCCAAGCATGCGATAGTCACCGGTCCGATGGACCACGCATCTTCCCACTTGATATAATCTTCTGGTAGGTCATAACAGCTGGTGAGGTCAACGGTGGGCCATCGTCCTGGGCCACAGTCCCTGCAGGTGAATTCGTCAGCCAGGTACTCAAAAGACTCACAGGGAATGCAGATCCAGCAGCACACGTCTCCGGGCTGCATATTCTTCATCTCGTTGGGCGCACAGGGGTCACTGCACTGGGCCACAGGGACAAGGCCTCTGGACCAGTGAATATCGTTGACCTCCAGAGTCAAGGTTTCAGCCCACTGTCCCACTTTCAGGTAGGAATACCGGCCTCCGGCTTGCTGGAAGTTGAAGACGTTGTATCTCCCGATCCCGTCACCATAAATATCAAACTTAACCAGGCTGTCTGCAGACTTGGAAGAACGGAAGGGAGCTGTGGAAATAGAAAGGAAACAGGGTTTTCATATTATTCATGTATTATTGTATTGTTGTATGTTTTGGATAGAGTGACAAACAAAATATGTGTGATTTAGAAGAAACAAGGTCCTGATCTAGCTAAAAACTTTCACCACCCTTCTGGGACAATATAAGATGAATCAATTCTTGCTAATAACATAGAAAACAGCGTGCAGGGTTTGTTCCTGATGAAACAAAACTCAACCAACTAATCTTGATGAATGTAAAAATGATTTAATGGCTCTGCCAAAAAGATTCATTTATAGTTATGGTAGGCTTTAATCAATTTATCCCATCGAATTTTCTTATTTTTAAAAATTTTCTAAGTATTCAAAGGTGCCAGCTATAAGAGAAATGATCTGCATGAAGACGCCTGATGCTTCCAAAACTATAAAGCATAGTTATAGAATATGAGGATATTACATATGACTTAATGTTTAAAAGAGTTTTGCATCCAAGCCTAGGATTCTGCTGTCATGGAAAACCACCGGTCTCTTTCCTCAGAAGCTGCTGTTTCAGTATTCCTACCATCAATTGGCCTACAAAATAGATGGTAATAATAATAATAATAATAATAATAATAATAATAATAATAATAATAATAATAATAATAATAATAATAATAATAATAATAATAGTAAGAAGAAGTAGTAGTAGTAGTAGTAGTAGTTAGAAGGGACCTTGAAGGCCATCTAGTCCGGAGGCAGATTGTTCCACTGGTTAATTGTTCTAACTGTCAGGAAGTTTCTTCTTAGTTCTAGGTTGCTTCTCTCCTTGATTAGTTTCCACCCGTTGCTTCTTGTCCTGCCTTCAGGTGCTTTGGAAAATAGCTTGACTCCCTCTTCTTTGGGGTAGCCCCTGAGATATTGGAACACTGCTGTCATGTCCCCCCTCGTCCTTCTCTTTGTTAAACTAGACATACCCAATTCCAGCAACCGTTCCTTATTTGTTTTAGCCTCCAGTCCCCTAATCATCTTTGTTGCTCTTCTCTGTGCTCTTTCTAGAGTCTCAACATCTTTTTTACATCCTGGTGATCTTCTAGTTGTGTTTATCAATGCTTCATCAATTATCAAATACATTGAATACAGAGAGATTATTATCAATATGGGAGCTGGGAAGCTTGGAAGGGTTGGGGAAGGACTCAAATCCCATCATATTTCACGCCTGGGAGCTCACTGTGATAATTAATCATCGAAATTCATTGTTCTTCTGCTTGTTACTTTCCTGCTGAAGCTGCTACCTCAAACACACAAGACAATTACAATTACAAATGTACGATTCCTAAATATGTAAGGTTTTTTCCCCCTGCAGTAAATAAAACTGATCATGAGAATTGGGAGACCCAATGTGATTCACGAAACTAGAGATAAATATTAAGCAATTCTAGCATCATTTTGGTTGATTTCTGGCCATGTTCAACCAAAATCTAATTTAAGAGCATTATTTCAGGTCCCGTACCTTGAAATTATGTTCTTCTTCTTTATGGTCAAAACAGCTGCAAAGGAGTAATTCATTCTTCTTGCAATGATATACTTATACTGACATGCTTATCTTGAAATAAATTCTTTTGTAACCAAAACTGTGGCTTTTTGGTCAGAAATCTCAACAGATCTAAAAGTTCCTTCACCCTTGATCCATGCAGAATCTCTCTCTCTCTCTCTCTCTCTCTCTCTCTCTCTCTCTCTCTCTCTCTCTCTCTCTCTCTCTCTCTCTCTCCTCTCTCCTCTCTCCTCTCTCCTCTCTTCTCTCCTCTCTCCTCTCTCTCTCCTCTCTCTCTCTCTCCATAAAGAACCTCATTTCCCCAGAACTGAATATAAAATAAATTCCCAAGAAAGTGCACAGCTGCTGACATACTTGTATAGCTGACATACAGGCAGCTATACACTTTCCAGAAATGTAATCCAACTCTCCAATCCCCACAGAAGGCCACCGGATAATTCCTGACAGGGAATTCTTAAAAATCATTTTCTATATTCCTGGTAGTTTATGTTTCCATAGTTACAGGAAAAGTCTGGAATCTTGCACCGACCAAAACTGGCGAGTCCCCAAAGGCAAAAATGAACGTCACAACGTTGTGTCAATCAATCTCCACGATATCTTTCCGTACAAATTTAGGAAGAGGTGTCGTT